GAGAAGGCTGGGAGCAGAGGCCCCGGGGAGGTGTACTCAATATCCCAGGGAAGGCTTGAGGTCCTTGATCCTCTGCCAGCTCAGTATGGTTAGGTCCAAACCAGAGCTCGTTATGACACAGGATAGATGAGTTAAAAAAAGTTAAGAGTGAAATCCTGCTGTGTATTTTCCCCATTGCTAAAGATCTTTTGGGGTTGGGAGGGAGAGGGGGAATGGGCCTTGACAAAATCTGGAACTAGAAATTTCTCAGTACAGAGGGTTTTTTGCTCCAGTTATGTTGACTGCCTCTGCATTACAAAACCTTAGCTGACTCTGAATATAAGGAAGTTTTGCATTTGAAGGTAATGGGGGCTTCTGGTAATTATCTTGGAACTTGCTTATTTTTGAGTTCAGATTCAGTGGGAATGGTATATAGAGGTTATTTTGGAGTCTTTCCTAGAGAGTAGAAACAGAAGGGCTAATCCCAGATCAATGTGATTTTTGTTCAGCTTCTCCCTAAGAATTATGAAATTTATAGAGGACTTGCTTTCAATAATATTCCCCTCAGCACTGAGGCTGAAATTAATGTAGAGGGGGAAAAAAATCCACTTACTGGGCTCGGATGTTCTTAATAAGAATTATTCTAGATCTTTAGCTTCCAAACCATTACAGAAGCCCCTGAAGGTGAGTGGTGGAGTGTTCTCCAGGCCTCCCCCATCCCTATATTCAGAGTCATTGATTTTATTGGTTTCTCTATATTGAATCTCTACTTAAGAATTTCTAGGAACAAAGGTTATAGCTTTAAAAAGTAAAAACTAGGCCAGATGTCTTTTATTTATGCCCCTAAAGGAGAAATAAACTGTTTCTCCCCAATTTGGTAGAGGGAAAAGGCAATTTTAAACCTCATATAGATCTACAGGTGGGCGGGGACTCGGGGTTCTTGAATTCTGCTATGGGCTGTGCTATGAACCAGCGTAACTCTGGGTGCTTTGCACTTCTGAGGCTGCTCCTTCTCACAATTGAGTTCTGAGGTCTCTCTCTGTATAGTAGAGCCACCGGTGCCTCCTTTGAACCACAGCACTCCCAAACCTGAGGGAGCAGAACTACTCACCGAGAAAGACTTCCCTGCAGGTCAGTAGGTGCTAAAGGGATGCTAAGTATTAATCAGGAAATACCTATAAATTGCTTGTAAGTTACTGTATTGGATACCTTGGGGAGTTCGAAAATGCATTTTAAAAGAGGCATAAAGAGGAGAAACCAAGATGGTGGCATAGGTAAATACCTAAACTGCTGCCTAGCACAACATTTTCAAAACTACAACTAAAACACAAAACGGACATCATCCAGAACCAAAGGAAGGCTGGCTGAGAGGAAATTCTACAACTAGAAGAAAAGAGAAAAGCACACTGAGACTCACAGGAACTGTGGAAGCCAGAGGGGTTTGCAACTGAGTATGCAGCTGGCTTTCTCAATCAGGAGGGAAACAAAACCTCCCGACTGCTCTGAACTCCAGTTCTGGGAGAGACTCTGGGGACCCAGACTCATTCAGGGAGAAACTGGACTGTCTGGCAGCAGGCGAAACTCGAAGGTGGCTTTCTCTCAGAGGTGCTTGCGCGATTACTGAGGGACACTGAGGCCCAGAGGCCTTTTAGGGCAGGGCTGACGGGAAGCCATCATGGTTTGCTCTGCCCTGAGATTCCACCCCATCCAAGCTGAGTGCAGAGGCTTTTGCAAGTCTTGTCTCAAGGGTGTCTCCAACACAGAAGTTCTCCCAGCATAGACACAACTGATCCTCACAGCCAATTGGCCTGGAGGTCAATTCCTCCCAGTGATACCAACAACAATCTAAGCTTAACTACAACACTGTGCACACAGCCCACAAAGGGGTGCACCAAGAGTTACCTCCTATAGTAACTGGGGAGGCTGAGCCACTGGGCCCTAAAGGACACCTAGCACACACTCTATCAACTCAGGGAAGCAGCCAAAATGCAGAGACAAAGAAACAGATCACAAATGAAAGAAATGGAGGAAAGCAAGCGACTGGATATAGAGTTCAATACCATGGTTATAAGGTTTTCCATGAATTTTGTAGAAAAGGCCGATAAATTTAGTGAGATCCTTGAGGATATGGAAAAGGACCAACTAGAAATTAAGCATACACTGACTGAAATAAAAAATAATATACAGACTGACAATTCTCGGGGGGAAAGGGGTGTGGGAGGTTTGGGAAGACACGACAAAAATCGTACATCTATGGATGAGGACAGTGGAGGGGGGTAAGGGCAGAGGGTGGGGTGGGAACTGGTGGAGGGGAACTAGGGGTGTGGGAAAGAGGAACAAGTGTAATAATATGAACAATAAAGATTTATTTATTTATTTTTTAAAGAGGCACAAAAGCCCTGGCTGGTTTGGCTTAGTGGGTGGAGCCTTGGCCCTCTAACCGAAGGGTTGGGGTTTGCTTCCTGGTCAGTGGTACCTTACCATGGTTGCAGGTTCCCCACCTCTAATAGAGGCACGTATGGGAGGCAACCAATCAATGTACCTCGCTTACATGTTTCTCTCTGTCTCCCCTCTGTTCTCTCTGTAAATCAATGGGAAAAATATCCTCAGGTGAGAATTGAAAAAAAAAAAAAAGGTATAAAAATCCTTTCTGCGAAGCCGGTTTGGCTCAGTGGTAGAGCATCAGCCTGCGGACTGAGAGGTCCCGGGTTCGATTCCGGTCAAGGGCATGTATGTTGGTTGCGGGCACATCCCCGGTAGGGGGTGTGCAAGAGGCAGCTGGTCGATGTTTCTCTCTCATCGACATTTCTAGCTCTCTCTCTTTCTCCCTTCCTCTCTGTAAAAAAATCAATAAAATATATTAAAAAAAATCCTTTCTGCTTTATAGACCCATGAAGTTTTAGGAGAAAGAGGACCCAGGGTGGATTGACAACAGTTCTGACGAGTAGCACAGATTTAGCTCCCTACAGTCCTAACAGAAGCTCCAGTGTACTTTTAGGTGTTAGGGATAGAGAATCTGTAAACTATCATAGGTCACTTATGGCATGTGATTTCTTATGACCTGCTTTTCCTGTACTGTATGTGAGAACACTTCCTTCTTTGTTGATACTACATTTTTTCGTGATCTCTGTCTTTGCAGACAGTTTTGAAATATGGGATATGACTCCAGATGTATTGGACAGTGCTGTCAAGCCGTTGTCTAGACCAGAATCACACCAGACTGCTGCCACACCAGTCCTGAAAAACCAGATGGTGACTCGGAGCCGGAGTCCACAAAGCCTTTGCCACCAGAATCCACAAACAAAATTGCACATCCAAACTTCCAGCGTTAACCAGCACAAAATAGGTAGCAAACCGTTTTAGGAACAGATATTTTAGAACCTGGGTTTAGTTCTATGAATTTTAAAGGTGGAATAGCAGAAAAGAAAAGATAATTGGTTTGAGAGCCAGAACTGTGCTTAGGGATCCTAGTGGGAAGTTAGGCCTGACTGCATTAGGAGCTTTTCCTATTAAAAGTGGGCCCGTCGTAATTACTTTAGTTTGGTCTAGAGTTAGAAGGATGTATTCATAGCAATTTTCATTCTTAGGTTTTTAGGATCATTAACTAATTCAGAAATTACTGAGTTTGTTTTAAAATCATGGCAACTATATTTTAACGGCTTTCTCTTCCATAGGAAACTGTGATTCCTCCAGGAAGAACCAGGAGTTGAAGAAAAGGAAATGGGATCCATCTTAGCAGAGGTTCAGGTTACCTCATCAGACTTTCATAGAGGGACTTTAGAAAACTGCTTTTTGGCCATCAAATTGTTCATTATTCCTAGGGAATGAGCTTTATTTCCAAGGACTGACTTTGCTTCCTTCTGTACTCTTCCGGAGGATTTGACTACAGGAGCCTACTGCAGATAAAGCTTTGCAGCTGGAAAACAAGTACTTTAAAAAAGCTTGTTGCACATTGAGTAGGCTGTGGGTAGATAAAATACCTTTTCTTGGGCATTTGATACTCATTATTTATTCCTAACTATTATGCTAATAAATACAGAACTTTTAGGAATCACCAGTGGTTGAAAGTAACATAAGCCATACTACCAAGCACCAACTTTTAACAACAACCTACATTACATTACTGGGTGTCTCTACTTTCTTTCATGTTAGGGCACCAAATTCCAATGTTGCCCACACAAGGACTGTGCGTCACGCTTAGAACAAAAGGTGGAGTGGTGTTTGACTCCTGTGCATCAGAGTCCAGGCTGTGATCTTCATCTGTTAACCTCTTGTTTAATTAAGGGGACGATGTAAGGCCAAAGAAAAGGAATTTCAAGAGCACAAAATAAATCCATTACCTGGTAACAAAATAGAAAATGTAAGTTGCTGTATATAGTTCCCCATTCAGATGTGTTATAAACCCATCTAACATAAATTGTTTTTCCATCGTGCTTAGTAGATGTTTCATAATTCTTTCCCTTTAATGAGTTTGTGTTAACTAGTAATCTAATCTTGAAGTGGCTTTTATTTTTTTGGGTGACATTCATTTGTGGGAAGCTGGGAACCTGAGGCAAAGAACTTTTAAAGAACAGAAGGCGGCAATCCATTTCTATTTCAGTGGCTTACTCTGATTTCTCTTTTCATTGCTTTTTAGCAAGAATGGAAGAGAGAAATATTGATGTGAGAGAAACACATGAATTGGTTGCCTCCTGCATGAACCCCGACCAGGGCCCAGGCCAGAAAGAAGCCTGCAACCGAGGTATGTGCCTTTGTCCAAAATTGCACCCAGGACCCTTCAGTCCACAGGCCGACACTCTATATCCACTGAGCCAAACCGGCTAGGGCTGATTTTTCTTTTACTTCATCTATTTTGCAGATCTGGTCATATAGCCATCTTTTGATTTTGATATCCTTGTCATCAGCATAACCATAGTTCAGGTCAGAACTGCCACTAAAGTTAGGAATCCAATTATAAATTACACACAAAATATCTAATGAAATAATGAAAAATGAATTGGCTGGGAATGAAACCCCACAACTCATCAAAAGCAAGTTTGGTTTATTTGAATGGTTTCATTAAATAAGTCTACAAAGGTTACAAACTGAAGCACAAAGCGCAATCTTACAAGAAGCGCAACACCCAAAGTTAGTGCAAAATGTACAATTAACGGCTGCAGAGAAACCCAAGGTTTGAATTGTTTATTCATTTTTTTTAAAAACAGTATACATTGTTAAATAATGTAAGGAAAACATTTATAATTCAGAAAGATTTTTTAATGTGGAAAAGATACTCAAAGTGTACTATTAACACAAAAATAATTTAAACATTTCAGTAGCTAGTTGATTCCTCTAGGCTTCAGTTATTTCATCCACAGGAAGGGAAAAAAAAAAAATCAACAGTAAATAAAACCAGTTCTTTCTTTTTTGTGAATGAAGAGATCTCAAAATTATTGAACCAAAATAACAAACAATGTGCTGCATTTGGCTTGCTTGTTTCTCTAGTAAAAAGTATTGTTTCATTTGTCTTAGGTGGTCCATTTCTCATTAACTTCTTCTATTCCTTACTCTCACCATCTCCCTAAGAATTATAAGCAGAGAATGAATAAGTAAACAATTTCGAAGGAGGGCTTGGAACCTCTGCCCTTTTCATTTCTACCTTCCTAAAACCTTCAGCTTTCGTTTGCATCATCGGGGCCCAGGCTAATGGAAAGAAACGGCCACGAAGGGACAACAGTGAGGCTCTTCCTATTGTGATCCCTGGGATGTGCCATTGAGGTGGGTAAGAGGTTGGAAATATGTCAATTTCCCAACTCAAGAGTCAAGACAAGAAGCACCCAAAAAAATTAAAGAGTCCTAGCTTTCCCCCCATCTTCAGAGATAATAGAGACCCCCAGTTAGCCAATTAGGAGAGTATTTCCTGAAAGCTCTGAAAATGATAGAACTGCCCATTATAACTAGGCATATCACTAAATAACACTGGTTGGTTGCAGTTATTAAGGAGAATATTTGTTAAAATGAAATGTGAGAATATCAGTTGCAATTGCAGAAATAAAGGTGGCACAACAGATTATGATCCTGCAACCATTTGGACATAGGAGAAAAACAGGAAGAATATGATTCTTTCCTACACAATGCTTGCTTCAGATGTGGTTCCACTTTCTACAAAAATACAACACTCCAAGCTTAGAAATACCTGGTATATTTGCAGCAAGAGGAAAGCAATCCAAACGGTTTTTCTTAGAGCAACTTTTTCCATCTGTGACACTTCACTATCCCGTTTCCCAACTTTAAAATCAACCCCTCTCGCTTCCCATGTTTAGCCATTTGTTCTAGGTCTGTGCAAGCCCAGCTCACCGAGTAAGGCTATGGCATCACATATCTTCAAACAAGTTTGTTCTCCCATACCTTTGTCTTTTTCTTTCACTTGTCCTTCGCCTCCTTTAATCCTTTAAAATGCCCAATTTTATTACAGCACCCCTCTTCACCATTCCTGAAACAGAACTTTCTGCTTTCAAGCACTGATGTCAACTAACTTCTCACCCTGCTCATCTCATACCTGCTCTAGACAAAATTGTTAAATAACAAGAACACTCAATTTCCCTTTGGCTTGACCCACTGCTGGGGTCACCTGGGCCTTAGATTTCCTCCCACATGCCCTTTGCTGATCTGGGGTCTGATGAGAAGTTGATGCTAATGGCAAAAGCAATAGAAGTCCAAGGCACTAAAATATCCAGCAAGCAATACTGGGAGAACAGAAGTATTCAAGTAAGTAATTTATACAATTTTACATTCACATTTATTTATCTAATACAATGGAAATACAAAGGAAAAAGTTAAAGTGTCTCAATAAGTAAAGAACAGAGCTAGCTTTTTTGTCAACCTTTTAAACCTTTCATATTTTCATCTTAAAACTACTGTTGTCCAACAACATTTATATATCACAGTGTTTCCACATCAAAACTGATGGCAAAGTTACATGTCCGCAGGGAACTTTTTTTTCTTAATTGCTAGTGCTGCAGTCAAAGCTGCTAATATCGTTTGCTTAAAGCACTAATGACCTATCATAAGAAAGGGCTGCAACCTCAATCTTCTGGTGTTTTTCAATGGGTTCTAAAGAGAGAAAAAAAGGAAAGGGGAGAAGTGGGTGGGGGGACAGGGTAAGAAAACACCCAATACCTTTATTTTGTCTTGTGGCTTAGATTCTTGAAAGAATGAGGGACTTGGGGTGGGTGCCAAAATTAAGAGCTACACCCACTTAAAAATACAGATGGGGTTTGGTTTTCCCTTGAGCACTCGAATAGCTTCCTGATAAAAGCCCTTCTCTTTCCTAGCCCTCACTGTTGGGTACAGGTAAACAGGAAAGCACACATTGAAGCTACCCCACCACAAGAAAGCTGCTCTTTCCTTCTTGTCCCGCTCCAATTAATGGTGAAGGGGAGGAAGACTCCATTTTGAGGGCTCTAAGCAGTATTTAAAACATTCCTTTCTGGCAAGAAATAATCAGTTAAATGCAGCACAAGTAGTTAGTATATATAGGCTACTAACCCCTCTGCCCCCAATCAGCACTCTTTCCTGTCCCCAAATCTACTCAGTTAATGTCTCTAGGTCTAAGTGGTCCGCAGGTTGGAACCTGGGGGGTTGCTGATGGATTTCTGCAAATTGCTGATGTTGAAATTCTGTAAGGAGGCAGTTCCCACAGGCTGGAACTGCCCAAGTGGCTGTGGTGCAGGGCCACCTGTCCCACTCCACTGAGTGCCAAAGGGAGGAGCTGGGAAAGTGTACTGCTGTGGGGGGCACATAGCCTTGGTGAAGTGACCTAGAGAGGTAGCTGATGCTGCAGAGATGGGGGCAGGGCCACCCAGGTTTGAGGTCATGGAGATGCACAGCTGACCAGGTGCAGAGAACTTCCTTGCCATTCCAGGGCCCTGAAAACAAAACAACTCATTGTAAAGTGTGGTGTGGGCATAACATGCATGAGTGCGAAATGGGAATACCAAACTATAATTTTACAGCCAGGCTGTTCTAATCTTATAAAACCTTTCATAATAATTATTATTGGCTCTTCACACTTATCTAACCAGTGAGAAAAACCATTCTGACTGGAACTGGGTGGTGGTGGTGGTGGTGGTGGTGGTGGTGGTGGTGGTGGTGTGCGCGCGCGCGCGCGCGCGTGCGCGTATGATGGTGGGCATGCAGTACAGGGTAATAAAGGAAAGAAAAAATTGAGTTGACCAATAGGGAGTGAAGGATACAGGGAAGTAAAAATAAAAGGGTACTTGGGTGATTTTTGTCTTGTTTTTCTAAAAGTATTAAAATTGCCTGGCTGGTATGGTGTAGTGATTGGGTGTCAACCCATGGACTAGGAGTTGACGGTTCGATTCCTAGACAGGGCATATGCCAGGGTTGCAAGCTCAATCCACAGAAGAGGGCGTGCAGGAGACAGCAGATCAATGATTCTCATCATTGATACTTCTCTCTCCCCCTTTTCTCTGAAATCAATAAAACTGTATTTTTAAAAAGTGTTAAAATTAATGAGCCACTGAAGTAGATCACTGTCTGAAATGTTAAGCATGGTCTCAGATGTGCTAAGTGACATGAATAGAGTAGGAAAATGGCAAAAAGGGAAAACTTACCTCGTAATTCATATGTCCTTTGCTTCCTCTCCTGCCTGAAAGATTCATGGCATCTCGGGCCCAATTGTCCACCAACTTGTGCAGGTCATCTGTGAATGTGCCCTTCCTGCTGGAGGTCATGGCAGGAGGCTGTGTTTGGGCAGCTTGGCTGTTCACTGTTCCCCCAACAGTGTTTGTGCTGCTGGTCCCTAGAGTTAGAAGAAGCAACAGAATATAGCAATTACATGGTGTTTGGATTATAATTTAATGAACAGGAAAAGCTTCACAGAATGATGAATGGCAAGCCACAGAATGGGGAGGATGGATTGGGAAGCCATGCAAGAAAGGAAGATCCCAAGGCCTTATTTAGCCAATGCTGGCTAACAGGGCAATGAAACCAGATTCTCTTCAGGAGCTGCAGTAAGGAAGGCTAAAGAACTCAGGACTATGGTTGGTACAAAGGGCAGGGCCCTCTTCCAGCCCATTCACACAGTACTGAATGTACTGCCAGCAAACGTGTTCAGCACTGCATCGATGAGGGAAGAGTGGGATGGTCAGGGAGGCTAGTTGCTCTAGAGTAGGGGTGTCGAACTCAATCAGAGAAGGGGCCAAAATCTAAAATCCAGCCTAAATCGCGGGCCGAATGGTTTACTGAACAGTCATAAACTGTCATTGTGATGGAAACGCAGCGGAGTGCAGTGATGACAGCACGATGCGGGCCACATTGCAAGGCCTGGCGGGACGGATTTGGCCCGCAGGCCTTGTGTTTGACACATGTGCTCTAGAGTGTTACAGAACGCAGGGCAAACAAGATGATTTCTTGAGCACTGGGCCAGGGTTCAAGTAGGAGTTACAGAAACGCAAAGACAGGTGTTTGGCCCAGGAAAAGACATGGTTCCCAAACCATGTGGATTCGGCCATTCCTAACCCCTCCGCCCCCTTAATAGAAAGAGGGGATAAGAGAAACAGCATGCTCTGTTAAAAAAAAACGTTTTCATCTGGACCCCATAAACACAATTTGTAAACATACACTTGAGAGGAATTAAGGCTTCAACCTCCCCCAGTTTCCTATGAGTGAAGAACCAAGTTTACTTGTGAGGAAGGTTTATTGTTTGCCTGAATCTTTCAGCTCTAAGAAGGCATGCTTTTCCTGAAGATGACCTGTTTCAGCTGGTTCGAGGATCCTCAGCCCTTCCCCACCTTTCCCAGAGCAGCAAGCTCTCTTATGTGGAAGCAACAGGAACACTCAGCTGAGGCAGGGGTGCAGAAGGGAGGAGGAAGCTTTGAGGTGCAATGAAGGAGTTCTATTTCTATAGTTTGATGAGAAGAAAGGAGTGTATCCTGCCTGATTTCGGCTCTGCTGGAGGGCACACTGAAGATTATGCGAAGAGGCAAGTTTTAGGGAAGAGGGAGAGAAGAGTCATGGTCTTGTTTGTTTACCTTCACCCCACCTTCTTAGCAGATATCACATTTACTATAGAATAAATAAGAACTACTCAGTTGTGAGCACTAGGCCTTAAGATATCCCAGTAATGCTGGGGGCTACCTAAATGCATACATTTTCTTGCTTTCAAGGTCAAAGCAGCAATGGAGCACAGCCGCATACCTGAAGCAACTCTGCCATTGAAAAGCCCTTTATGATCCATTGCTGATCAAGTTTCTACCACAATATCCAGGGATGGCACACACAAGCATGTCTGTACTTGAGAAACAGCTAATTCAGAGGTGAAGCTGCAGAGGAAGGTCACATGCTTCTTACCACCAAGGCTTGACATGGAACTACTGTAGTGTGTGCTAGCTCCCTTCTCAGTGCCCACGGGAGTCACAGGGAATTGCTCTTGCACATACAGTGTAAAGGGAAGAGTAAGTTCCGCTATGGCACAGGAAACAGCCTTCCTGAACAGCGAGAGTGAGACAGTAGTGGGATGGGAGGGAGGAAGAGGCAGTGAGGATGGCGGTCATGATGGTGAAGTACAGAAGACAAGCAAGTCATGCATGAGGACCACCATCCAGTTTGAATGGTGATTGCTTAGCGAGCTTGATGTAACCAGACACTATCCCAAGTGAGCAGAGCTGTCAAAGCCAAATACAAGAAGCTCTGTTGAGGTGAACACCAATTACAAAGCTCGTGCTGGGCGTCCCACCGCTTTGGTCTCATGCTTGTTGCCTTTCATGCTTTGAGGACCCTTTATGACCAAATCTCATTTCTCACTTTAATATATATTACAAAGTACTGTATTCTGAAGGTAAGGTTTATACCTTGAGGGAGAGTCAACCATACAGTTGACTGGCTTCTGAAAACAGGTTTTCCCATTAAAGGAAATAAACACATCCTTTTCTGACTAGAAATAAACTCCTGGGAGAAGCTGACTATAAAAACTAGAATACACCGTGAATTTAGTTCATTTCAGTAATAAAATGTCTAAGAACATTCTTAATGCAAATATTTCTGAGAACACTGTGTACCTTCCAGAGTATAATGACTAACCTTTAAACCTTTCTCAATTCTGCTGAAAAGCTCTCAGAAGTGCATGCTGAATCACTCAAAATCGGTTCTTCAGTTTTCTCCTGCTGTAATACATTTTCCCCACCCCCACACGCCAGATCCTAGTACAACAACCTATTAGTAGCCACAACTTATTGCCCATATATCCCAAGTATAGTGTTTTCTGGTTGACCCTATAGGTGGCCTGTGGGGTTGTTGAATTGCCTGAACTTTAATGAGAAACTACCAATCTATGAAGCCAAACTCTACAAAGTTATGCCTCTCACCTCACCAACCTAGCAGATGTGGGGTAATGGGCTCTTGTATGCTGTGACCACTGCTGATTTTCTAGAGACAGGCACATTTTTGTTAACTAACTAATTATTTCGCAAAGGAGTCAGGAGTCCTTGATCTCTCTGTACATATCCATCAGCTTATCAATCCATAATGCCACAGAGGTAGGCTTGCAGGGGGTCATCAATGAAAACACTGACTATGAGGTGATTTCTTAATCTGAGAGGATAGCCAGTGGTCAGCAAATAAGCATGTTAAAGAATATATCAGAAAAGGGTGTGGAACTAGAGAGATGGAAATTGGGAATCAGGGAGTTGTGAGGCTTCAAGGTTCAAAGAACTCAAGGATAACAAGCTTTGCAATCAAGGACCAAAAGTAACAGAAAAATAAAAGATAATTACTACAGAGCTGGTTGCAAGGACAGACTTTTTTCACCATCTTCCCTGAAGCACAAAGAGAGAGCAATGTGTTAAAATAAAGAAACATCAGTGTAAAATATTTAGAATCTCCAAACAGCACACAAAGTCCCAGCAAGAGAAAGCAGGAGGGGAGACAGACTGGTAGGACCTGGAGCCTTTGCCACAGAGGTAGTTCCATGGGACTTAGCTTTGCCTTGGTTCTCTGACGAGCTGTGGGACCTAGCTGACAGAAGCTGGATTTCATACCCAATGTTTGTATCTAGAAGAGCAATGCCTGCATTAGGCTGTGGGAGCGGAGGCACTCCAGTCTCTCAGATCTCACTGCTTGAATTTCAAATACCCAAGCAGTCTTTCCACTGACCCTGTCCCGCTTTCTGTTTCTCCTGCTGGGATGTTAAAAAGCACTCAATTAAACGCATTAGCAATTCTACCACAGTGGGCTGATAGATATTACCATTGTTACAGTTTTCTCTTAATTTAAATTGGCTAATATATTTCCACATCCTAGACATACTAATACTTTCCCCTTTAGAAAGATATTTAAAAGTATATAGAAAACAAGCAACTTTTGAACATAAATAAAGCATTAAGGCAAGCCATGCTTCCAAACCATTATCTATTTGGAGAGCACAGAATAATGCATCCCAAACTATTAGATAGTCTAAAAACACCTGATTTTTCTTTCCACGTTTGCTTTAAACCTGCCTCCTGCAATTTGGTCACCAAGGCTTATAAGATATACATATACTGGTGTCACCTTTAATTTTAGACCCAGCAGAAAGCGGTAAGATTTTCATATTTCTCAACACTTTTATTCAAAAACAGTATTATACCACCTACCTTTAAGCGTGTGATGAGAATTCACTTAATTAATTTAAAGTGGTATCTACCACTTTATACTTCACAAAAAAGCCTTGGTTCTCTTAATTCTGTTAGACATTTCAGGCTGTTTTAACACTTGCCTCCTAGTATTAATGTCTTTTCATCTTTCTAGCTGGACATATAAATTAAATGCTTATTTAAGTATCAAAATGTTAGTATGCTTGGTCCAGCCTAGTTTAACCAGAAAGCTCAAAAATCGCACATGCTTGGAAAACTACCAAACTGGGTAATGCCTCCCACTTTTGTTAATTAGCTTTGGCTAGTGATATGAGAGGCCCAAGGACCTCTGAACCATACTTGGAAATAGTGATGGCCTTAGCACATGCATTTAAAAAGCACTTCAATAACCACATCAGAAGTTTGAGGCCTTAACAGAGACCTTTATTTAAACTCTAAGTTTTCTATTTGAGTCCTACTTTCATTTTAAAAATTTTATTTCAATTTACATTTACTAGCCAATCAGAGGGCAATGATTGTGCTTCCCCTGTGCTGCCTGTTTCTATGTATGTGATTTGTAAAACAACCCTAGAGGACAGGTGTCATCTTCATGTCACAGTTGGGAAAGATGGGCTGGAGAGGTTTTGCTATTGTGCCTTTAAGAAGGCTTAGAAATCTCAGCAATCATTTTCACTTGCAGGTGCTGGGATTTGGTCTTTAACAGAATAAATGCTTTATGAAAGTAAGTACACTAAAAACCTTTCAACACCTGATATTATGAAATTAGAAAGTAGTAGTGGTGAAAAGATCCAATGAGGAAATTCTTGCATCTTTTCAGCTGATGGTTAGGCTTAATTGACCAGAAAAAGATAACAGCCTCCTCTGAAAAATAGGGTATAACTTTTACCTGCTGCCAGGATCTAAGTGCATCAGTGGTCAAGATGCTTTCTGTCACTTCTCACTGAATAGGACAAAAATTATCTTCATTATTCTTTCTTTTAAAAAAAAATTCATTGATTGATTTCAGAGAGTAAGGAGAAGGAAGGGAGAGAGAGAATTAGAGATAGAGAAACACTGACTTGTTGTTCACTTATGCATTCACTGGTTGATTCTTGTGTGTGCCCTGACTGGGAATCAAACCATTGACCTTGGTGTTTATCAGGAAGAAGCTCTAAACTAGTGGTTTCCAACGTGGGACACCCCACAGGGGAACAATTTGATTTTTAAGGGGGCCAATTCAAGAATGAGTTATTAACAGTGACTTTTTTTGCATTTCTTATGGTTCTAAGGGCCTCATATACAGTACATAATGTGACATTTATGCATTTCAGTTCTCTATTATATGTTTTGAAACTTACTTGTAATTTTTTTGTATCACTTCATATTATTATTTTTTAACACTTTCTTAGTGATTTCTTCTTTAGTACTTCAGTTGTCCTTTCATTCTTTTATTTTTCTCTTTCATGGTTGCCATGTTCTTTGGAAGCTTGTTTAGACCAAGTTAATTGCCTTTCAGGCTTCCTCCACATGAAGAGAAGTTCACTTTTTGAATAATAAGAATTATATGTCATGGGGGGGGAGGGCAGGCGGGCATCTGTATTTTAGAGAAGCTTAGGTGGGGCATGGCCCCCCAAAAAGTTGGGAAACCACCGCTCTAACCAATGAGTACCTGACCAGGGTCCAGTTTTCATAATTCTAAAAGACCCAGCAATCTATGTAACCTACTGTATTTTTCGGACCATAAGACGCACTTTTTCCCCCCATAAGTGGGGGGAAAAAGTCCCTGCGTCTTATGGTCCAAATATAGCCTACACATATATTTAAAAAAAAAAAAGTTTTTTACTTGCCCGGCTCTGTGTGGTCTCTGTGTGCTTGCCCGGCTCTAAAATGGTTCTAAATGCTGTTTACTTTACAGGGTTGATTACATGTGTTTATGACTGTGGTGTTGGGTTTTAATGCACATAAAATATTTTAGGACACTATTTGTTTCAGAATCTTTTTTTCTTCATTTCCCTTCTCTAAAAACTGGTGCGTCTTATGGTCCAGAGCGTCTTATGGTCCGAAAAATACGGTAATACCACACTATATGGATCTATGAAGAAGCAATTCTATCAGAAGGTTATTTTGAAGTTTACCTATTATTATTTCTACACCTTTTATAATAATTAATGTAGGGACCCAAACTTCTGAGGGTAACAGTAGTTCAGCCAAGCCGCTGAGTAAATGATATACAAAGACAAATGAAAATGGACTGCGTGAAATATCAGATCCAAGCAGCAGAAAAACAAGGGCAAGGAAGGAGTAAAGGTGTTACACACAAAGAGCCAAGCAGGGCGTACTCAGAAATCGGGTCCTCCTGCCACCAGGTTTGAATGTCACCTGCTCAGATGCACAGTTAAACTTCGCACAGCCTGTGGGAAGGGAGAAACAGGGAAGAACAGAGAGAGAAGAGACAGAACACAACTACAAGATGTTAGAAACTTGAGGCTGGAGTGGTGAAATGCGCTACAATGACACACAGAACAAGCTTCTAGGGAAAAGGTCAAATATCAAGACAGGAAAATTAGGCCTCAATTCCCTCCACCTGCCAAAAGCTTTCACAGTGGGAATAATGCTAGCTAGTTTGAGTTCTTACCAAAAAGTACATTTATCTTGTGAAAAGATAATCTAATCTTTAATTTCAGTGAAATTGTGACAAAGATACCAAAGTGACCTATTCATATTTTTTCTCATTCTTTTCTACCCAGACACTGAACTCCTTCAAATACTTGTTCTAAGGTTACTAGAAGCTCTTTCCTCTACAGGAATCTTTTGAGCAATCATTAATAAATAAAACCATATTCAAAAAGTAAATAATATATAAATTGAATTGTAGGTCAATTCATTTTAGTATGCTACTCCCATACTTAGAAATTTAAAAAGTCCACATTAGTTAATCTAGCAAGTTAGCTTTCAGGAACTGCTAAAACTCCTTAGAATTTAGGGCAGGAAATCTGTCTAGTCATAAGTATAAGTTGCAATCCCAAAAGAGTTCTTCATATAGGTCACAATCCTAACCATTTGCTGTAATCCTTTGAAAAGAAGTGATTTCACCTGATAGGAGCGATGAGTACACCTATCTAATCACTTTCCCCCCCTTCAGCTCATAGATCCTTGGAAATGTACAATACACAGGCGATGTTCTGGTCAACTGGTCTTCCAACTCACCTTAACAATAAGCTACACATTAGGCTTTTGTCCCAGATACGGCAATATCTCCATTTGAATGTTTTTGGAAGATGATGGCTGCTTTGCTTTCTTACCTTGACCTGGAGCAGAAAGGCTTGGTACTGAAATGGCACCATCACTGGTGAAGGCTGAATAGAGGTTGTCACTAGAGGGAGATGGCTTAAGAGGCTGTAACAGCTGACTTTGCCCAGTCTCTGGGATGTTGCCAGGAGGTTGGAGGGTTTGCTGGGGGTGCAAGCCTGAAGCTGCACTCTGACCAGACAAATTACCTGCCAGAAGACAAAGTGGCATGAACAGACATGTACAGCTTTCCCAATGCACTTTACTAGGCACTGCCCTTATTCCTCCAATTTCTCTCATTGAGTGATTAATGGGCCAAAAGCTATAACTAATGAACAGGAGAGGAAGTGAGGAATGGCATGAGAATCAACAGATAAGAGGGCCATAGGAAACTATCCTGAAACATTTTTAGTTTTAGAAGACCTAGATGGATCACAAATCTGAGCTGAGTAAGAAGTCTAGAACAGTGGTCACCAACTGGTGGTCCACAAGGTTGCTGACCGTCGGTATAGAATATATAGATACAAGAGAATTCTATTTTGCAGTTCCACAACTCTACTGTAAAACACTGAGTTGGATCATGATACAAATAGGTTTGGCAAGCAGTGTCTGCTTAATTTTCCTTATAAGTATATGTCAGATCAAGTACAAAAGAGGTGTTAAAAATAGTTGCTATTCCTTATAATCACATCTCTACAACTGATTTGGTTCAAATGTGCTAGAGAAAATTTGGGTCACTAAAACTTCCAGAGAATGGAAAGCTGCTAAAAAGTTTGCAACTGATCTCCAACTTATTTATGAGCAAATATGAGGTATACACTTATTGCAAACTTTTTTACTTTTCAACTAATTACCTGTTAACATTACCATAATTTCACCAAAGGATAAACACTGTTTATCACAATTTAAAAAATGTACAATTCATTACAAGGGATTATAATTAAACTATTTTCTTTAGTTACAAACACTAGGAAGTTCTTTATCCCAATATAGGCAAATAAAATAAAAACTTTAATCAAGGAAATTATCACTTAAGACATACTCAAATATTTATATGAAATTTGTATTTATCCCAGTCACAATTATGACTAATCCATTCACTGAAAGGAAGAATCTACCTGAACTTTGCAAAGCTTAATGCTTTATCCTTAAAAACTATAAATGAAGACTACCCATGGATAACAATTCAGGCGTCTTCAAACTACGGCCCTCGGGCCACATGCGGCCTGCAGAGGAGTCTGATCCGGCCCGCCAGGTTTTTTGGGCAGTGAGCGCAGCCGAGGTGTTACAGTAGGAATTAGTAGTTCATATAGTCCGGCCCTCCAGCTCTCTGAGGGACCGTGATCTGGCCCCCACTTTAAAAAGTTTGAGGACCCCTGAATAGATTATAATGGAATAGGCCATTCAACTCACCCAGTCTACTTCCATGAATTAAAAAAGAGGTACTATAAATATGGGGAGCAGAGAATTCAAGGAAGTAAGAATATTAGGAAAGTCAATTAAATTCTTTTGAAATAACAAAAACAACAAATGTTCAATAGGTTATATACACTGTTGAAGACAGAAATAAAAGATGGGACAGCCATGGCTGGCCTGGTCCAGGGCTTCTTACCTGAAAGCTGGGGGCTTTTACTGCCCAAGGAACTGATGCGACTAGATTTGCTGCCTTTGCTTTTAGTGGGTCGCCTTCTTCTTCCTGAAAGAGGGGCAGCTGGGGGAATAATGACAGCAGGGGGAACCTTGCCCAGTTTGGTATACAAAGATTCAATTTCATGTTTCTGGCGACTCTGCAGATCTTGAATCTCTTTAAGGTGTCTATGAAAGATAACCAGACATAATTCAAAAATATTAAAAACACCTTTGTTCAAACAAGACTTAACCACATATTCTTTAACCTCCACTGAAGTACTTACTTTTGAATCTTTGCCCCAAATGTATTTAATCTAGTTTCTACTACACCTTGAGATTCTAGTTTGTCAACGCATCGTGCTGGCCTCCATTACCCAAGCTAAAATCCAACAAGCTCCCAGCCAACAAATGGTTGATGATGCAGTAGGAGAAAAAAGATTTCCTGGCTTTTGAGATTATACACAGGAGTACTGATTTTGCTACTCTGATCCAGTTTGTCAAATATGATCAACAAAATCTTCTAACAGTGGTTCATTTGGTAGACTAATAAATAGCTAAGAGTAGGTTAATAATGATAAAAGTGCTATTAATAAAAATGATATAGTAACAATAACACAAAAAATGCTGACAAAGTTCTATAACTAGAAATGCTATGGGTCCTGATGAGTACAGGAGATCCAATAAGAACTACATTCAGATAACTAGCTTTTGCCCATTACCTTCTCTTTATAAGAAATGAGACATGCCCTAGCTGGTTTGGCTCAGTGGATAGAGTGTCAGCCTGCAGACTAAAGCAGCGTTTTTCAACCGCTGTTCCGCGAGATGTTGCCTGGTGTGCCGTAGGTGCAGACAAGACAAGAATTTTATAATTTTTCACTATTTTGTTTACTTAATATTTCATAATAAAGTAATTATAAAATACTTTCTTTGTGTTTATTTGATTCCCATTCAAGAGAATTACTTTATATATAGTCAATATAGGCACAGAGTTAAATTTTTTAACATTTTCTAATGGTGGTGTGCCTCGTGATTTTTTTCATAAAACAAGTGTGCCTTTGCCCAAAAAAGGTTGAAAAACACTGGACTAAAGGGTCCCAGGTTCAATTCCAATCAAGGGCACATGCCCAGGTTGCGGGCTTGATCCCCAGTAGGGAGTATGCAGAAGGCAGCCAATCAATGATTCTCTCTCATCATTGATGTTTCTATCTCTCTCCCTTTCCCTTCCTCTCTGAAATCAGTAACAATATATTTTTTAAAATCTATATATAAAAGCCTAAGCTACCAGTCGACTGGTAGCTATGATGTGTACTGACCACCAGGGGGTAGAAGCTCAACACACAGGCATGGAAACATAGAACAGACTGATGAATCTCAGAAGGTAGGAGAAGGAGGGTGAGAGGGTGAAGAGATTAAGACCTTATATGCATACTAGAGGCCCCTTGGCCTGGCCTAAGGGATCAGGCCAAAACTGGCCCAGTGCACAGATTCGTGCACCAGTAGCATCCCTCAGCCTGGCCTGCAGGGACTGGACCAAATCTGTGCAGTGGGCCTCCAACATCCCCCAAGGATTCTTGGATTGAGAGAGGGTGCAGGTCAGCCTGAGGGACCCCACCTGTGCAAAAATAAGTGTACTGGGCCTCTAAGTAAGTAAGTAAATAAAAGAAATGGAGACATAATCACAGTGTAGTGAAAAGAATACTAATATAGGCACCTAATTAAGAGTTAGGTCTTAATTCTGCCATTATTCTTTTTTTTTTTTTTTTAATATATTTTATTGATTTTTTACAGAGAGGAGGAGAGAGGGATAGAGAGCTAGAAATGTCGATGAGAGAGAAACATCGACCAGCTGCCTCTTGCACACCCCCTTACCGTGGATGTGCCCGCAACCAAGGTACATGCCCTTGACCGGAATCGAACCTGGGACCTTTCAGTCCATAGACTGACGCTCTACCACTGAGCCAAACCGGTTTCGGCCTGCCATTATTCTTCACAGGAGAAAACATACGTACTTTTCTCGTAGTCGTCGCAGCTCTAACTTTAAGTCTTCATCTTCAATATCTGACTCATTGTCACTACTCATGTAAGAGGAGTTGAGTGAGTTACTAAGGCTCTGACTTAGATTTTGGATAGGAAGGCTCCTCGAGCTCAGTTGAGGGGGGGAGTGTGGACTACCTGAACCATCATCCACATCCCTACTTAGGAAGGCAGCCTCCAAGTCAGAAGATGGCCCATTCAGATGCGAAGGATCTGACAATTCAGGCTTTCCTTTCTTTGGTATCGCAGCAGGAAGAACAGCTTGCTCCAAATCCATAAAAGGAGGAGATGCCATTGGTCCCTCTTTCTTTGCCTCCATGACCTTATCTTCAGTTCTTGATACGGAGAAACGACCTACTTGGTTTGCTGTAGTTGTCACCTGAAAACGTCCGACCTTGGTAGGCTGCCCGATTTCTGACTTTGCTTCTGAGGCAGGAGTTTTGTGGGCACTATCTGGCATATCTGAGGAGATACCAGGGATGGTCATCCCATTAGGTTCTGGCTTCACCAGGGTACTCTCTGGACTACTACTCGATAGCACTGAGGATTCTGAAGTGCTGGATTCAAAATGAACAGACTTTGCACCTTCAAACTTATTTTTACTCTCTTTCTGGGCATCATCCATTGCAACTGAAACCTGATGGAGAGGGACCAAAGTAAGATTCTTTTAATATTTATTTTTTAGAATGGACCATAAAAAAAGAAAATAACAGAAATACTTTATTTCCTAGCCAATAAGTAGGCTAATTATCTGTTTACATAGTCCATTATAAAATGGGCTGTGCTTGTGAAAATAGAATACCATTATAGAGAACAACACATCTGTACTAAGATATAGAGATTAGAAGTATATTCTGAGTGCCTAGCTAAGCTTACTAAGTAAATTACTACTTTTATATCTAATGCACAGGACTCACACATTCAAATTTTAGTAAAAATAGAAATAACAACTGGTCACGGAATGTTGGGCATTGCTTGTGAGTAAGAAAAACTGCAAAGATTAAATCCAATAAATGTTAAATGCCAGCTAAGCTTCAAGAATCAACACAACCAAGCATTATCATGAGAATGTGAACCCTGAGAAAAAGATGCCTATTAAGAAGGGCTCCTGGTGGCTAACTGGCCTCAAATGAAAACAAAACAAAACAAAACAAAACAAAACAAAACAAAACAAATAGAGCTAGCAGTCATTTCCATACAGGGGCCTCTCACACAAACTGTGCTTTAGGGAGAAACCTGCACTGAGCTACCTGTCTGCATTCTTTCTGCCATCTGATCCAGCCCTTATGAAAGAGTTCCTAGAATACTATTTTAACTAATAGGACAGAAGCTTTCTCCATCCAGTCAGAACTGAGCAGTTAACAACTTCTTCAACCAATCAGAGTGGCTTGATTCTGTCCTGTGCCTTTTGGACCAACTGTGAGGAATTGGGAGCCCTCAATTGCATGAAGATGGATCAATCAGGGACCAAAGGTCAGGGAACTTCAGTCTATATAAATCAGCTCCTTTCTGGCTCTGGAGCATACTTTCCCTTTTCACCAACAGCTGATGATTGCATTTCCCTAGCTGAAGGTATCTCACTGGAGCAGAACAAAGCAGATCAATGCAAGCCAAAGTTTACCAGCATGGAGCAGAGCAGACCAACAAGGAGCAGAGCTGTCTAGCCAGAGTGCGACCTGACCCCAGGGCTGCCTCACAGCCATGCTGCATCACAATTGAGGTGTTCTGCACTGAATAAAGTTTCCTTCTTCACAGCACCCCAAATTGGGGATTCCTATTGCTGTTGAATTGGTGCCAACAACCACTGGCTGACAAGAATAATTGAAAAGTAGTGTTAAATTTGTAATAAAAATGATTTTTCAAGTTTGTTTGGCACTACATCCTAACAGCCAGAAAATGTTCCCTTGTTGGGCCAACTGTAAAAATAAAATGAATAATCACTTGACTCAGTATTTTTGCTTCAGAAATTAATCCTAAAAGATTTTCCTAAACATGGAAAATATTTTATATACAAAGTTGTTTACTGTTATTTTGATCATTATATTGGAAAGCAACCTAATGACTAATAACAGGTGAATGGTTACATAAATAAATCATTAGATGAGGGAAAAGCTATAACGTATCATTAAGAGTTCAGGGAAGCAAGGGCAATTTTAGGTATTCACATATCCAGAAAAAAGGAATGGAAGGAAATAACACCCTAAAAAGTAATCCTGGGGAAGGTGGAAGGAGAGGCAGATAGTATCATTTTCTATTATTTATCTACTGTTCTAAATATCCCATATTTCCCTAACATGTATTATTTTGAATAGGGAAAAATAGTAAGAGCTATAAAGTTCTATACAAAAGAAATATATCATCATATTGGCAATTAAGTCCCAAAAGGTAGGTAATAATTCTGTTAAATATACATTCCCCAAAAGGGGGAATCAAATCAAGGAAAAGTGATTGTCTTACCTGAAATCGCCCCGTTTTAAAAACACCAGTTCCTGAACTAGCTGCAGTGACTTGTGGCACTAGAACAAATAAATGGAGGAGGAAAAGAACTTAAATCAGCATCTCTAATTATCTTCTTTTCCCAGTGGCCAGAAATACAGCAAAATGGAACCACATTATCAGGTGAAAATTGTTAGAGGCAGGGAAAATTTCCTTAACTCGCTTTCACCCTGGGCTTTGTCTAACAAGGAAAAAGTTATTGTTTGCTCTCCCAGAAGATACCTTTAGTATGAAAAATTGTATTGTTTAGAGAAAACTGTCCAAGTCTGAATATTTATCATTTACCCTTGCCTTTATTGGTACACATGTATGTTGATATGGCATGTTTGAAGGAATAAGTTCCCTACAGGAGTCCTCCTTATCCACTGGTTCACTTTCAGTGGTGTCAGTTATCCATAGTAATTTCAGATATTGAGAGAGAAAGTGAGAGAAAACATGCACATAATTTTTATTATAGTATATTATTAGAGTTGCTCTATTTTTCATGAGTCATTGTTAGTCTCTTACCATGCTTAATTTATAAATTTAACTTTATCATAGGTGTGTATGTATAGGAAAAATCATAGTATACATTTAGGGTTCCATACTATTTGCAGTTTTAGGCGTCTACTGGATACGTCTTGAAATGTATCCCCCACTGGTAATACTGAGTATTGTATAACCAAAGTAGCTTTGCAGCTTAACTATAATATTAGAAGATATTATAAAACTAAGGTTAATAAGCAGTTAGACTGTTACTCACTCTTTAACTCAAAGATGTAAATAAATGAAGGGAACACTGAGATTTCACCTAGGACAGTGGTTGGCAAACTCATTAGTCAACAGAGCCAAATATCAACAGTACAATGATTGAAATTTCTTTTGAGAGCCACATTTTTTAAACTAAAACTTTTTCTAACACCACTTCTTCAAAATAGGCCATGGTATTTTGTGAAAGAGCCACACTTAAAGGGCCAAAGAGCCGCAGTTTGCCAACCACGGACCTAGGATATTAAGACCCAATTTTTAAAAAGTATATATTTTTATTGATTTCAGGGAGAGATAGAGACATCAATGATGAGAGAGAATCATTGATTGGCTGCCTCCTGCTCGATCCCCAGGGATCAAACCTGCAGCCCAGGCACGTGCCCTTGATTGGAATCGAACCTGGGATCCTTCAGTCCGCAGTTCTAGCCACTGAGTTCTAGCTACTGAGCCAAACCAGCTAGGGCTATTAAGACCCACTTTTAAATGAAAACCAGCTATTGCCCTGACCGGTTCGGCTCAATGGATAGAGCATCGGCCTGTAGCCTGAAGGGTCCCAGGTTCAATTCTGGTCAGGGGAATGTACCTTGGTTGTGGGCACATCCCCAGTGGAAGGTGTGCAAGAGGCAGCTGATCAATGTTTCTCTCCCATCGATGTTTCTAACTGTCTAAACCTCTCCTTCTGTGTAAAAAAAAAAAAAAAAAATCAATAAAATATAATAAAAAACCCCCACAAAAACCCAGCTATGGCAAACTGGTTAGGTAAAACTTAGACAAATTCCTAGAACAAGACAGTAAAGGTGTTAGAACCATTAACATGCAGTTCTGAGCAACTTTAAAGCTACCTGGTGCCTCTCTAGGGATAACCACTTGTTTGAACTTTTTTCTAGAGATAAAATCTATACTGGCATTTTCTTTATTTCACACAATCAGTAGAATATGAATTTTGATATTTTCATATGTTATAACTTAGAGATCATTCTGTATTGATGCTTCATTATTTTTAATGGCTGCATAGTGTTGTACTGAATGTATGCAAAAAGTAGATATAATTTTTTAAAAAAAATGTTCAACATTTTAACCAGGCCTCTACTGAACATTTAAGTTATTCAAACTTCTTGCTGTTATAAAAATGGTCTAATCAATATTTTCTTTTTCTTTTTTTTGTTTTTTTTAAAAATATTTTATTATAGGTCTGTGGAATAAATATCTAGCTATGGAAGTACTGAATCAATGCCATTTAAAACTTCCATAGACAACTAAATTTACCTCCAAAGAGACTATACCAAGTCAATGGTGACTATTTATTAAATGTCTGAATTTACCAATGAGAAACGATAAGTGCTATCACTTGTGGTTTTATTTTGCATTTCTGTTATCATAAAGTAAGTATTTTCATGCCTATGTTCCTTTTTTTTAAAATCTTTTTAAAAATATATAGATATATTTTATTGATTTTGTACAGACAGAAAAGGAGAGAGATAGAGAGTTAGAAACATCGATGAGAGAGAGTCATCGATCAGCTGCCTCTTGCACACTCCCTACTGGGGATAATGCCTGCAACCAAGGTACATTCTCCTGACCAGAACTGAACCTGGGACCCTTCAGGCCACAGGCCGATGCTCTATCCATTGAGCCAAACCAGTCTCGGCTTAATCTTTTATTTCTTGTCCATGTTCAATTTATAGAACTCTTAATATTAGCAAAGGAGCCCTTTTGGGATACAAATACACGCACATGCATACATTTTCCAGTTTTTCATTTATCTTTGGACTAAATGGCATGTTGTTTTCCAAGCAGAAAAATTGAAATCTATTACCACTTCTGGGCTGGGTATTAAACATATTAAACACAACACCACCTCTCTCTAAATGAGGGATCAGCAAGCTACAATGCATGGATCAAATTCAGCCCACTGCTTGTTTTAGTAAATAAATTTTATTGGAAACAGTGAAACCCATTCATTTATGTCTTATCTATTGCTGCTGTGGCGTTACAATAGATTTGAGTAGTTGTGACAGAGATTGTATGGCTAGCAAAGACTAATATATTTACCTAGCCTTCTGCAGGAAAAGCTTGCTGACTCTGATCTAGACAGTTAAAATTTAAGGATTAAAGAAAAAGTTTCCTTTTTTCTCTCTACTGCACCATTCATATAGTATCATTAAAAAAAAAAAAAATCACTGATCCATTTGGAATTTATTTTGGTTGAAGGCTAGTGATTTTTGCTTTTTTCCCAGATGGCTGTCCAATTATCCCAAACCATTTACTGAAATATCCCATTACATTATGATTTAAAAGGTCACCTTTTTAATATTCTATTTTCCCATAGTTTGTCCATTTCTAGAATTTATCATTTGTTCCAGTGATTTTTCGAGTCACTTATTTTTCAACAGAATCAATTCCCTTGAAAATATTTTGAAAGGTTTTAAATAAAATTTAACATTTAAGAAAGATAAGAAGAAAAGCACTTAGGTAATCTTATTAAAAGTTATACGGAAGACTAGCCTGTGTGGCTCAGTGGTTGAGCATCGACTTATGAACCAGGCGGTCATGTTTCGATTTCTGGTCAAGGCACATGCCCAGGGTGTGGGCCTAATCCCCAGTAGTGGTCACACAGGAGGCAACCAGTCAATGATTCTCTCTCATTAATGTTTCTATCTTTCTCTCCCTTCCTCTCTGAAATCAATTAAAAAATATATATATATATATATCTTAAAAATAGTTATACAGGGAAGTACATTTATGTCAGGTGGTATTGAGAATAGATATATTTTTATAAAAAGGGAAAATTAATATTAAGCATGTGGTATGCAAAAATCACATTGCATAAGTATAGCTCACATTTAAGTATTTTCACTATTAAACTGGATTCTGAAGGAAAAGGCAACAAAAATACAGAACCTCTAGATTTCCTAGATTCTGTGGGACTGATGATTTAAATGAAAAGAGACCCACTACAACACTTTAGAATAGAAGTAATTTATATAGACTTATGACTAAGCACAGGGTAATAAAAAGTCCTAATAAAATATTTAAGTTGATGATATAGCTAATTTTTGCAAAATTAAGTTGGAAGTATGCCCTTCTAAAGAGATTATATTTTATGGACATGCCAACTCTAATGACTCCAAAAAGAGATAAAAATGTTTAAACTGATTAACTGAAATCTTACATTTGTATTTCTACCAACTATGCTATTCAAGTTTATCTCTATATATTTAGTGTCACACAAGCCACGAAGTTATCAGTAAATTAACTTTTATATGTGCTTGAATTTTTTCATCTCTCTTAGCAAGAACCTAGGGATAACTAATGACAAAGGGTTTTATGCTAAGAAACTATTTTTATTCCTTGCATGTTCTCCATTAAAAAAGAAAAAAAGAAGAAGAAAGAAAGTGTCTTTGAAAGAGTAATCATTTATAGGGAGGTAGCAATACTTCTAAATTACTATACTTATATAATATGCTTCTTACCATCCTTCTGAGGCTGTGCTCCTGCTTCTGTAACTGCTGTTGGAGGCACCACAGACACAGGCTGCAAAACACAGATACAGATACCACAAAATCTTTAGCTTTGGTCAGTCTTAAAATTTGGCCTGCTGCTTTGAAGAAACACTTATGTCTGAGGGAATTTTTTTTTAACAGCTGAAAAACAGGTCTAATGTAAAGAAAGACATATTTTAATGGAGAAATTGAGCCTTAACCCTTCTGCATTGCTTTCTTAATTTTTTTGCATGAATACTTGAGTATAACTTGAATATTCATAGAAAACTAGTTTTAATCAGAATATTATTATGTCACATGCCTGAAAGGAAGAAGTTAAAACTTTAGAGTATAGTCTCCTCTGAATCATAAATACAAAATCTTTGGTATAATTCTAACCAAAGAAAAAGTATTTTTCAAATAAAATATTTTCCAGTTACACTACTCGGTCAGTGTCAATTTTTCATTAACTGGTTTCATTTCTGCTGGCTTGAACAAAAACAGACAAAATAGGTGTTAAAGATATTAATAGTCTCTAGAGTTTACAGTTTATGTTCTAGGAATGTAATACATTAGGGTTATGGGAAGATTTTATCAAGATTTTAAAAACTTACACCAACTGTAGATGTTACTGCAATAGTCTCTGGACTAAGTGCTCTTCTCAATTGAGCATCAAGATCTTCCAGAGGTTGCTGGGATTGAATGAAAATGACCACAATAAATATAGTTCTTTAGCATATTCGGAGCCCCTATATATAGCCCATTTATATAGGACATACTGTTTTATGCTTTAGATTGACATTATATAACATGTCTATTCAGTGAATATGAAATTCAATATGCCAAGTTCAACTTAGAAATATTGCTTGAATGATTTACCAGTCTTTCAAAAACATATGTCAACCTCAAACCTTAGAGAAACTATTACATTTGTTTTTACAGTTTCTAAGTTTTCTTTCTTACCTTTTATGTTCAATGTTAAAGTGATAGAAAAATTGTCTATTTATCCTCTCCTTAAAGTATATTCTGAAAAATGTATCAAGATCTATTGGTAAATTAAGAGTATCACATGTTCCCTATTTTCTTTTTCAGTTTGGTTAATCTTTCTGAGACCTTGGTCTTACAAATAGAAGATGGCACTATCAGGAATATTATTTTAATAAAGTTTTAATAACCTATACTCTTATACCTGCCTTATAAATGACAGGAAGGAGGAACTGGAGGTCTGAGTATTCCATCCTATTAATCAGGTCTTATTACTATACATCTTAAGGCCATAAACTTTTCTCTTGCCACAGTCACTTAACATCCACCTATCTTGACTTCTAGCAACCTATTCTATAGCTTTTACTTATGCTATTATTCCCTGTCTATATGTAGGCACTATCCACTTACCCTTTCACGACTTATTGCTTTTTCTCATCACACTTACAGCTCTGTTAGAAATTATAATTTCATTAGAGGTCCGGTACACAAATTTGTGCATTGGTGGGGTCCTGAGGAGGTTAAGGGGTGGGGGCCAAAATGTGATTGGCCCTCTGGGTGGGCGGCGGGATGCCCTTGCCAGCCAGGGATCTGGATCTGTCCCACTGACATTCATGCTGGTTGTTGGGAGCCACTTGGCAGCACTTTTATATTATTCCTTGCTGAGCGTCTAGGAAGGGGAAGCGGCCACAGTGCCTGAGGCTGACTTCCAGGCCAACGGGCACTGTTGGGATCAGGCTGGTGGCACTCTGTGACTGGCCCGTTCTCTGGAGATTGCACATGCAGGACTAATGAGGGAGGGAGTGGCTGCCACCAGGCTGGTGGGCCACCAGGACGGGTTGGTAAACTGGGTGGCACTCCCACTGTGTGAGTACACTGACCACCAGGGGGCAGCTCCTGCGTTAAGTGTCTGTCCCCTGATGGGCAGTGCCCATCATAGCAACTGGTCATTCGGTCACTTAGACTTTTAAATATATAAAATAGATGCTTCTGATGAGAAAATAGGTTTGAAACTCCCAATTTACAGACTTCCACAATGCAATTTTTTTCAAAACTTAGTGGCTGATGAAGTAAGTTCTTTGTTGGAGTTAAAACTTTATTATGGTAAGTTCATTAAATTATGTGCTACTGTATATCTGGGGATTAAAGAAGCAAAGACAAATTCAGGCTTTTCAAATTAGCAATTTACTATGTTCTTCTTATTTTGTTCTAAAATAAATTCCTAATTTAGTTTCAATGTTTACTAGGTTTGACCCACACAGAAGCTTTTTCATGGTTACGATGGGTGCATAATGAGTACTTCCCATGGTAATTCAACTAAATGTGTGGGTGGTAGATTAGGGTGGAAAAGATAAGAATTTAAATAGTGTAAGCAATTCTGACCATCATTCTACCCAGTGGGCAGAACTGTGAGACAGGAATCTCACATTCATGTCACTGGTCTAAGTTCCTCTATGAGGAATCTCATTTCACCTGAGCTGAGAGATTTTTGTATTTAAAGATGTATCTTTTTCATGAAACATAACCCTATAACCACCTACATATAAGCCAATTACTTAATTCAATGGCCATTAAAAGAAATGTCAAATTAAAAAAAATGGTTGTAATAAACTCATAGAAAAAGGGTATTATCAATTATTAGTATGATACACTTTCCTAGGGAGCTTTCAAAGTTAATTCTGTATACACGTAACTTTGCTATTTTCTTCCTTTGTAAAATATGAAAAAAATATTAATATTGAATGTTTTCTGGATGACTTGAAGCAACACTACAAATAAATTAACTATGAGGCTTCTTACTTTAAACAGGGCTTGGGTTGTTAGCTACGCTATTTTAAAAGAAAGCTGTCACTAAGTCAAAACCAAATAGAAACCAGAAGTCATGATCCCACAATGGAGAATTTAAATACCCTTTGTGAAAGAAAATAGGGGCACAAAAAGAAATATGCCAAGTCTTGGGGCACCTGAGATAGTGAAGGTCCTGGAAAAGGTGGCGGCTGCTCACTGGATGGAACACCAGCTAGAAGTTCAGTACCCACTGACACAACCTACAGACAATGAAGAAAAATTCAAGTCCATGAGGCACTGAAATGTAAAGACTGGAGAACAAATCAACAATTTAAATTGCAGAAGCATAAGAATAATATGTATCTATAATAGTTAAGGCGTGCTTGTCACCTGGGTTGCACTCTTAAATAAAGGACACTGTAACCATGATACTATTATAGGGGACATTGTGACATACCAATAAAATGAATAGTAAAATTTAATAAGAAGTTAATTCTTTAGGGAAAATAGAGTGAACAAAGGTTGTGTGAACATGAGAGGCATGGTCCAGATATTTTTGAACCACTTCTTTGGTACAGTGTAATCAGGCTTTTCCTAAAACAAACAAGACTTTTCTGAGAAAACGAAAACAATTCAGAAGTAACCAAGGGTCAGGCCTGATAACAAAAGGCATCAGAAATCCAATACTATCAAGCAATTTGTTTTCTGTCTGAATAAAGCTTCTATATTAACTACTGTTAACAGGATTTCCTATCAATGGCAATGCATATAATACAGTATGAGAAAAGTATATAGCCTTATTATTTGGAAAAGATCAGGGAGATTTAAGATGGCACAATGAGAGAAAACCCACCATAGCAGAATTTGAAAACACCTTCTAGTTATTTTATTTCTAAGATTAGATTCTTTACTCTTCCTTTGTATCACATTTATTATTAACTTTCAATTTTTTATTGACCCTATATTATACATCTGTGGAATCTAAGCAAGGCAGATAATTTGCTTCATTCTTATTGAAACAAAGATTATGAACTTGTTACTACCGTGTTTCCCCGAAAATAAGGCATCCTCCGAAAATAAGACCTAGCACATGGAAAGATAAGACATCCCCTGAAAATAAGACCTAGCGCAACTTTGGGAGAAAAAATTAATATAAGACACTGTCTTATTTTTGGGGAAACAGGATATGTATAATTGCCAGTAGAAGCATTTAGCTCTCTTTTGGGATAAATTCCTTTAATTTGTACCAATTGGGAAGAAAAGGCTGTAATTTTACCTGATTATTATAATTCTAAGAAAATCATGCAGTACAGATAACCACCAAATCCTATCATATTTCAAAAGGAAAAGTATTTCATGTTCAATGTACATATACACTAAAATAACCTATTTATAAATGACTTATAAATAAATAAATCAATTTATTAAAAAAATTAGAGGCCTGGTGCACAAAATTTGTGCACACAGTGTGTGTGTGTGTGTGTGTGTGTGTGTCCCTCAGCCCAGCCTGCACCCTCTCCAATCTGGGACCCCTTGGGACATATTCAGGACTACTGAGTCCCAACCGTTTGCCTGTCTGATTGCCCATAACCACTTCTGCCTGCCAGCCTGATCATCCCCTAACTACTCCCCTGCCAGCCTGGTCAATGCCTAAATGCTCCCCTGCCAGCCTGGTCCCCCCAACTTCCCTCCCCTTTAGACCTGATTGCCCACAACTGCCCTCTCCTGCAGGCCATCTTATGGTGGCCATCTTGTGTCCGAATGGGAGAGGACATCTTGTGTGTTGGAATAATAGTCAATTTGCATATTTATTACCTTTTTATTATATAGGATACCAAGTGCCTATTACCAGCCAGACAATTTTATAACTTCATTTGTAATTTGCAAGGCTGAGTGGAAAAAATGCATATATTAGGAGGAAAAAGAGTGGTTATAGTTATTAAATTATTTCAAAACAAGAATCTTACTGGAGCCTTAGTTAAAGGTAGCTTTGACGGAGCAGTTGCAGGTTTCACTCCTGGTGTAGTGCTGACTGGGGCTGAAACATAGCTGACTGAAGTAGAAACTTGCCCAGGTGTTACCACTGGTATAACAGGCAATCCAGTTGTTCCTAATGGCAAACTGGTTGGTGGTAAACAAGTACTTGTAGTTGATGTCATGAGTTTGCTGGGTGCAACAGCAGTGGTTGGAATTCCTGGTGTGGCACTGGTTTCTATTACTAGTGATGTCTCCAATGAGACAGAGGCATGTTGAGTTCCAGATGAGCTGTGTTCACTAAAGAGAGATCGCAGCTTTTCCTCTAGAGTCTTTATGTCATCAATCCCAGGAGCTTTGGGCTGTGCATCAGCATCTATTTCAGGACAGTGTGTATGAGGCTGGTTGGGAAGCAAAGCTGGTTGAGGCTGACTATGAATAAGTGTCTGCTGTACAGCAGGCACATTGGCAACAGGCTGTACCAAAGGTGGAATAGTAGGTACTTGGGGTAATAAAGGTGTAGAAGTAGGTCCTGCTGCTTGGGGAAGACCAGGAGTAGAAGCTATAACTGAGGGAATGACCAAAGGATGCACCCCACCAGGTTGAGAAACGGAACTAGATACTACTGCTCCTGCAGAAGAGGAGGATGGTGCAGAGTGGGACAAAGTCAATCCAGCTGTACTGCTATGAGATATTTTATCAAGTGAGTGTGCACTAACCACCACTGTCTCAGCTAGAGTAGGAGCAGAGGTGCTGCTGCTAAGCTGAAGAGATGGCTGTGAAACTACGCTTGGGAATGGAGTGGTGGTAGAAACTGAGGTTAATGTGGCTGCCCCTGTAGTAGTACTGCCTGCTGACGGCTGAGATAATGCAGGTGGTAGTTTAGCCCCTGGGGCAGCAGCACTGCTCACTGCAGAGGCTGAAGTTGTTGAAACCGGTCTAGAGGGGAAAGTACCTATACTAGAAACAGCACTCCCAGATGTGGGAGCCAGAACTGACTGGGATGTTGCTGATGTTGAGACAACTGCAGGTATCGTGATGCCTGAAACCACGCTGGAAAGTACTGGTGATTCTTCAGACACAGGTGGTATAGAGAGTTCACTTGAAGTTACACTCGTGCAGGTAGTAATCCCCTTTTCAATGGGCACTGTAATCTCAGGCTGAATTACTGATGTGGAAATGTCATTAAGAGGGCAGCTAGTTACAGGGACTGATACTGAAGATGTGGCTGCTGCTGTGGTGGGGACTCCAGCAATGCTAGCCATGGAAGGAGTTACTATTGGAAATGTTGGTCCTGTCTGACTAAAGTTGGGAGGTGCTGTATTGGGTCCTTCTGTCATCTGGGCATTTTTAAGTTCAGAAAAGGCCTGCTGTAGACTAAGGGATGAAGCAGAGTGAGACAAGTTCATTCCATGAGACGTAGAGGGAGCAACTGCAAAGGAAAAGAAAAAATTCAGAATCAGTTCATTGTTAAAGGGTGGATTCAAAAGACTGTCCTAGCAATCTATTTTAGGCCACATACCAACAAAGTTTAAAAACTCTTCCAAGGGCCCTGCTGGTATGGCTCAGTTGACCTATGAACCATGAGGTCATAGTTCAATTCCCAGTCAGGGCACATGCCCAGGCTGTGGGCTTGATCCCTAGTGTGGGGCATGTAGGAGGCAGCCAATCAATGATTCTCTCTCATCACTGATGTTTCTATCTCTCTCTCCCTCTCCTTTTCTCTTTGAAATCAATAAAAATATATTAAAACAACACAACACTCCCAAGGAAATGATAGGCTCTAAAACAGCAAAGTAGTTAGATCAAAGTAAGTTAGAATATAAGATTACCTATTTCTGAAAACAAACACAAAACCATGAAGTAACCTCAAAGCATATGCAATAGAACTAAATGGAAAAACAAACTGTGTATCTACACAGTATCTACTATGTGGATTGTATCTAGTTATGGCTATCCCTTTTGACTCTCTTTCTTTAATCTTTTCTATTCATCACTTATTTCCTTTTTTCATATATTTATCTAAAAATTTTCTACTCTCTTTTATTGTATGTGTCATTGTTTGAACTATTGCTAGATGACCTAGCTTCCAATAGAGCAGAGATGCCACAAATTTTATAGAATTATGTGGTAGAAGCAATTCCTTACCCGTATCTGATATTTCACTGGTGAAAACTTTTGATTCTCGTAATCGACTTTCTGGCACAGGACTCACTATAAACCGTCTTCCAGCAGAATGAACAACTTGAGTTAAAGAACTGGCAGGAATGCCTAATTTAAAAGAAACAAACCATTTGATTGCATTATTATTATACTGTATATATGTCACTGACACGAAGCTTTAAGATTTCATTATTAGCACACTTTGGTCAAAAGTAAGAGTAAACACGGAAAGAAAAGAGATTCACCTATTTGTTGTGTCATGGAAGATGCAGGAAGTGGTTGTTTGAACTCTCCTTCCAATTTCTACAACAAACAAAAGTAGTTCAATTCATTCTCAATGCAATCTGAATTAGGCAAATTGCCACATGCAAAGAGAACATAAATGTTTGATCATCTCAGACAGATGATCACTGGACATTTTGTTTGGCACTACAGTAACACGTTAAATAAACAAACCTTCACTATGGAATTGTTGAACCTACTTGAGAACCTGAAAAGCCATAGTCATCCTTTCCCTGTAGACTCTCCAATCCCTGGTCACCCTCTGGTTCCACACTGACATCCTCACTGAGCATTTCATCAGCTTTTTCAATAATTTCCCGCACTTGATCCACAAAAGACTCTCTCTCTACTGCTAGGATGAAGTCATTGTTCACCTGTAAAAGAAATGTGATGTCAGTCTGATTAGTACAATGCTTCTCAAGCTTTAAGTGATTCAATTACAACTTCATGACTCTGCCCTATCTGCATACCACCTATATTATTACTTACTTGATATGAAAATTCTTCAATACTAATTAGACATGTCCTAGACAAAAACATCCAAATCACAGGCTTGGTGTACTGGTTATATTCACATAGAAATAAGTGTAAAAATAGATTACAAAATACTATATATTTGGCTAGAGCAGTGGATACTTAGATCAAATACTAAAGCAAAATTGGAACTCCAAATGGAGACATACCATAATTGTTGCTATCTCCTCGGGATTGTCACCATCTAAATCAAATTTGAATGTAACCATTTTCCGATTATGAGTCTCTAATTGACATTCTACTACCCGGTCTCCTTTATTTGAAACCTAAAAAGAAAAAGAAAAGGTATCTTTGATGACCACATTCACCTTTGTTACTGAATTTGAGAAAGTAATACAGATTATCACTTGAACATAAGCCTGATGTTACCACTGTTATTCCTGGCACTGATACTCTGCTTCTTAAGATATAAAGAAAATATTAGCCTTTGAGGCACATACTCATCTTACTGAAAAGTTTGAAAGAAATGTAAAACTTTTCTTTTTCTAAAAGCTAAATAAAGTCTTATAATAGAAATATGAAATTTAACAGTATCATTTGAGTGATTAGAATTTCATCAATACACCTGAGACTTAGAAATATCTACATAATATAAATGATATGAAACCCACATATTAGCAATACTTACATTCAAAATTCTCAATTTTGGGCGAGAAGTCTTTTCATGACGAGATCGACTTCTTACAGATTTTCGATTATGCCGTTTTGCAGTTCTCCCTTCATGCCTTCCACTGGATGATGGGACATTCTCATTGCCATCACTCATACCTGAAGCAACATCTGAATGTGCACTTAAAAAAAAAAGAGTTCAGTTTACAATATGAGATTTAAAGTTTTGATATTTTTAAGTTTCGTACCATCCTACTACCAGTCAAGGATAGAGGATTTTACTTACCTGTCTATAGAAGAGACCAAAGTGGTAGGCTGGGTAGGTTGTGGCTGTGCTATTGGAACTGGCTCTGGAGGAGCAACTTGAGAGACTCCCTGAGTACTCTGTGAACAGAAAGGATAATTCAAATCTTGGCAGTAATACATTTTATTTTTTATTCACCATTTCCAAAAAGCTACTCTTTTTATTTTTCTTATCCCTCCTCTAAGTCCTAGAAGCACTAAATTTACTAGTAATTATCAATATTCAGCATCTACAGATAGTGGACTTAAAATTCCAAAGGAAGTTTCTAAAGCTAGTTTCTGATATAGACTGCATGGTGTGATACCAGCCAATATAGTTGCTATCGATAGATAGTGAGAAACTATAATTTGCCATGCAGCCAGCCATCTTACCAGAAGTGTGCAATATGGCAGACAGAGTAAAGTGCAAAGATGATTCAGATCTTTCTCCTAGTAGGGCAAACATGATTACTGGGAGCACAGCAGGATAAGATATTCTTATGATTGCCAATGGCAAGGATTTGTGAAAGGAGAAGAATAATGGCTAAAGTACTAGCTAGAAAAGTGAAGTGCTAATAGGGTTAATCTTCTCCAAGGCACACTCACTTCCCAACAAAACAGCCAGTGGCAACAAGGCCCCCACATTGGCATTTCATTCTGCTGTAAGAAAAAGTCATTCAGAAGTTAGTTTGAAATAGTCTCCAAATGAGTTCTAAACCAGCGAACCTATGTTTCTGCTCTGTATTTTTTTTTCCTCCCATTATATATATGTTTTAGATGTAAGCATGCAGAAATACCATTTACCTCCAGAGCTGCTTGCTGGGAGGATGTAGTGGGGGCTTGTGCTAAACTCACTGCTGGTTGGGACACTTGAACCTGTCCTCCTGTACTGCCCACAGGAACTATAAGATTTGATTCCATATAAGGCTGCACCACTGTAGGAAAGTAACCTGGTGTAGCTAATGCTTCTGTAGACATGGGAGGGGATAAGACTGTAGAAGGGATGCAAACAGAAGCCACGCTGGAAGGAGGAGCAATATTTGAATCTCCTGGATATTGTAGTGGTAATCGAGGTGGGAAGCCCTGTGATAGAAATGAGGAAGGTGAGTTAGTGCAAGTCAGGTCATCAAATTAGCAAAACAGCATGACATGCCAAAAAGAGAAAAAGAAAGAGAAAAAGAAAGAGAGAGAGAGAGAGAGAGAGAGAGAGAGAGAGAGAGAGAGAGAGAGAGAGAGAAAATGCACAAAGCAAGAAGAATAATAGCCCACTCTTTTTCTAATAATTTAAATATTTCTGATTTCAATTTAGGGGACAGGACTCTACAACTGTACTTTAAGTTGCTGCTTGTTTCTTTCCTCCTAAAGACTATTTAAATAGGAGGGATATATATAATTCCTTCCAGAAAAAAATATCTACTTTCCAGTCATTCTTAAGTGGAAGAATGAAAAAGATCTTCAAGGTATCAGTAATTCCAGTCATATCATGACCTGCTAATCTCCTAAATTCAAACCCTGAAGCTTTTTATTGTACCTTGTTAGCTACTCTATTTATTCTTCCTATTAGAAAAGTAGCCTGATGTACTCTTAGTAGCTATATCTAGCATTCAATTAGCTTACACCGAGTTTTAAGGGAACCATTTTTCTCCCAAGAGGGACCTTTAGGAAAATGGAAATGAATCAATTGTTAGACATCATCACCCTATTCTTTCTCAGAATTTTACTGTTTTAGTTTCTCTAGGAAAGATCAGCAACTACTGTTTTTGCTAGTTATTCTGACATTTAACTACTATATTCTCAAGTCCTTGATTGTCTACTATAAGAACCAAACCCTCTGGTGCCCTCGTTTTTGCTAAGCAACACAATACCTGGTATAGAACATCTCCAGAGGGAAGTGGACCCTCAGCAGCTTGTCCAAGGTTAGCTGGTAGTCCAATGGACTGAACTGCTGGCTGCAGAAGCTGTGGGTGAACCTGACTTGGCAGCTGAGTCACAGGCTGCAGAAGGGTTGGAAGCTGACTAGAAGCCACAGTTGATCCCCCTGGGATCACAGCTGTTGTAGCCGATGAAGCCAAAGTGAGCAGAGGCTGATTAATGCCAGCTGCAATTGTGATGGGAAGGGTTGAGAAACCTGTCTGAGCCGCAGACACATGAGGAGCAGAGATAGGAATTTGAGAGACAGAGTACTGAGGGAGTAAGGAAGCAGGGAGTGGCTGTCCCATAGGGAGGAAATGAGCACCAGAATGGACTGGAACAACTGAGGGTTGTGTTGCAATTGAGATCTGAGGTTCGCCTTGGATAGTTGGTACTGGCTGGGAAACTGGAAGCTGAGAAGGTAAAGAAAACAAAACAGACAGATTTAAAAAAAAAAAAAAAGGCAAGGCCACCAAAGCAAGCTTTATGTATTAGCTCAAAGGAATGAAAATTTAAAAAGGAAACAATAAAAAGAAACCCTGGATACATTAGTGTAAGTTAATATGCCACATAAAAATAGGGAAAGGATTGCAGGATACAAAGAGATTGATTGGCTACTGTTCCAGATCTTTGTAGAGACGTTTACTAACGCTTCATTGTTCAACAATAAAATGAGGACTCTTCCACAGGAAAGGTTTTTTTTTGTTTATAGCATTAATTGAGATATATTTCCCATACCATAATTCATTGGCAGGTTTGCAGTCACTAAACCTATGACTGCTATTACAACAGTTACTGAAATTCAAATGAATTTCTTCCCAATGGAATTACATTTCATCAATATTGCCTGTAACAAAGGCCTATAAAAGTAGGTATATTTACTGTATTTCACTGATTCTTGATGTAATTATCCCTCTTCAGCACTCTGTCATTTTAACATTTGTGAAACTAAGATATATCTTACAATTAATGGTGTGTCAGTACTTAGTGATACATGAAACACTGGTGCATTTTACAACTGATAACATCTCAGAGCAATAAAATATGACAGAAACAATAAATTGTGCCAAAATACAAGCACAACAAGCTGCAGTGTTGAAGTTGGAAAAAGGTAATTCAGAAGAGCATTCCTTCTATGGGGCACTTTTCAAGTGACTGGAAGAATGCCTTAGAAATCATTCCATAAAATGGGTTTTTATTACTTACTGTCATTAGGCAATGAGGGATAAAACAATGCATAAATCTATATGAAAATACAGCATATTCCCTGGGATATTACATAGCTGACACAATTCTAGAAAATGTACTGTTTATTAACTCATCAGTTCTAACTCTTGTCAAACCTAAAAGTTAAACATTTTTAGATGGTCACTGCTCAGTACATATCCATTTACATTAAATAATACATATGCACAAAAAGAGCATTTTTTTTTACTTCATTTTTTGCAAAAAACAACAACCAACTTTGATATTTCACTATTAGAGAAGGTAGAAGTCTATCTACATAAAAGAACAGGTTACACAAAGTTCCCTTAGCATATCTAAGAAACCATTTACCTGTTTTCCAGCTGATACTTGAGGCAAGACCTGTGAAGCCTGAGGCTGACTCACGGGCTGTGCAGTAGTGGCCTCACTGGAGGTCGTTGTCTGTGGAAGTGAATATTGCACTGTCTGTTGAGGGGGTGCTGTCTGCTGTATTCCCTGTGCCTGAGAATAAAATATAATTACTCAGTTTTATTTCAAGTCATTAATAGCATGTTTTTAAGGAATTATGTTTGCCTAAGGCCTTCAGTGTCTGAAAATGATTTTAGTAATCAAGACATACACAAACCCAAATTTATCAATTTCCCTTTACATTTCTTTTTTTTCCTCTGGTGCTCTTTATTTGTATGGTACCACCAAAAACCATTAACCGATGTTTCAAAACTTGAGTCACCACTGATTCTTCACTCAACCTTCCCCCTTGCCTCAATAGCAGGTCATTTATAAAGATCTTTAGATACCATATCCAAATAGGTCCTTCCTCCTCCAACCCCACTACCCATTTTTCCCCTATTTCTACATTATCAGCTCTCACTTTGGTCCTCTATTAAACTAATCCAATCTCCCCTTTAATTTTTCCATTAACATATTTTATAAACTGCATAATTAATTTACTTGAAAAATAGCTCTAATTATAGATACAAAATAGTGAGAAGAGCATTGTATTAGCAATTTTAGTTTTATCATCTACTAGCTGTAACACCTTACAGACTGTTCACTTTACTGCCAAAATCAAGTTTCCTTCTTTGAAAATAAGGACACTTGTCAATTCAAGTCAAAGCAGGACAAAGGGAATGACATTTGTGAGGCACTCTGGTGTAACACGCTAAAACTTAATGCATGACAAATATTTGTACTCAAATACTAATTTTTATAATAAATTAACGGCTACCTTTTGTGTAAGAAAATCTGAACTTTAAGATTTTCTAATACTTGTAACTAATTAAAAAATTGTAATATAAAAACAATACCTGCCTGTAATAAACATTTTAACCAATACATCAGATTATAAAGTTAAATGAAAATACCCCAACCCATTTCTCAGTGGCAACCACTATTATTTAGTGCACACCTTTATGATTTTTTTACATGTGTAAGTACATTTTCCTTTGTTAAAATAAAAACATGCCTGTTACATTAAAAGTGTTCTTTAATATGTTTTCATTTCATTTACCAATGGCATGAATGTTCTGATGATGACTATTTTGGTTGATTTTTTAGAAAAATAAAATCACCAGTAGTCATGTTTATTTTATTCTTATTTAACTATTTTTGAAAATGCAGTTTTCTTATTTTAACTTTTAAAAAAATGAGGACAAATGGCTGCTGAATTATGTAAAATATTTTCAGCAATTAGAATTTATCTATCATACTTATGCAACTATAAGGCAACTCTGAATATAAGAAAATTCCATTTTCCCACTGAAAAGAACAACAAAAAACTGGCAAACCTTTTTGGTAAACTTGAATATATTTAAACTTTCAGGAATTTACACGAAAATACTACATTTATCAAAGGTATTAATTTATATACCTAAATATGATTGCTTTTATAAGTATAGTAATTTAGAAGTATTGCTACCTCCTCTATCATTTAAACTCTTTGTATTTAATACATCGGTGTCTTTGTCTTCACTGAAGCTATGCTATAGTGTTCTGGAACATAACATGATACTTTCCCTTTGCATCTTGAGGTAAAATTTGCAGTGACAAGCATCTGTTTGAGTAATATTGGGAGAGGTGATTTTTTTTTGCATTTGTCTTATAGACTTATATTCATGTTATCTCTGTATTAACTTCTTAAAGTAAATAAGTTGTTTACAATGACACACAAACTGGGAAGAGTAAAGGATTGACTTGGAATAGTTATTCACCTAAGAATAAGAACCAAGTCTATGCTTAGTTTCTTAACATTTATTTTAAAACCAATTCTGTCGGAATTTGTCTATAAATATTTCCAAACACATACACTATTTTTAAGATCCTTACATTTGTTCTCACCAGTTTTATTTCATTAATATTTTTTTGGTTATTATTCTAAATAAAGAACATTAAGAGTCTGTGATATGAAAGTATGATCAAGGCTAGAATATATGGCGATTCCCTTCTTTATACGAAAGAAAATGATAAATTTGAGAAAAAAAATCCCCATCGTATATTTGGGTATATGATTATTTCTCCCAACAGCATAAATGCAGAATCATGCTTATATCAAGATTTGGATTCTATCAGCTCATTCCAATCAGCCTTTTTTTTGTTTGTTTTGTTCAAACCAGCCTATCCTGACTGTGTACTATCTGTTGACATGAGTGTTGAATAAAAAATATATTCATGAGCCTAAACTAAATAGAAACTAAGAAATACCTGATGATTTTACATGTGCCCTACAGAAGAAGTTACTAAGTAGGGTAGCTCATGAGTTTTCTTATGGCAACAAACGAAGTTTTCCAGTAAAAGAAGCTATTTTTTAGTACCTCATATCACTAAAAGGTACTAAATAAAAACATGAAAAATAAAAACAAGTCCCTTATCCATTATATTTCAGAAACCCATGAAATAAAGTAAATTTCAGCTAAAATATATTTCTTGCCTAGCTCTAATAAAACTAGAGATATGGTTTCCTAAGGGGTAAAATAAAAATCATATGTAAAAACAGACTCTACTCATATAGTACAGATTAAAATCTTTCTTTTTTTTTTAATTTATGGAACTCCAGTAGCTAAAACAAATAAGTGCAGCTTCTTGGGTACCTTTACAGAATCTAACTCCCTATAGAACTTTAATACAGAAGAAAAGAACACTATAGAAACCTAGAATTCTGACTTGTAATTTTTAGTTCTATCCATTTACAGATTTATATGACCATGGAAAAATTAAGTATTTTAAACTGCAAATACTTGACTCAATTTTATGATTCTATTTAATTTAAATATCATGCTATCTTATCTAATAAAAGAGTAATATGCAAATTGACCACACCTCCGCTATACCACAAGCCACCCCCACCAGCCAATCAGAGTATGCAAATCAACTCCAACCAAGATGGCTGCAGCCACAGAGAGCAGCAAGGAGGCTTGGGTTTCCCAGGCAATGTAAGAAGCCAAGCTTTCTGCCTGCCCTAGCTGGCCTAAGCCTCCACTCAAGGCTACAAAGTTTCAATTATAGAAGGTAAACAAATCCAAATAGAAATGGTGACAGCCACAGAGCAATCAGAGTCTTGGCTCTGCTCCAAGCTACCAAGTTTCAGTTGTAGAAGGTAAATAAATTACAGATACCAGGGCCTCCACTTGGGTTGGCAGGGGGCGTGGCTGGCCTGCAAACCACTAAAGGCCCCTGGCCAACACCCCAAGGGATCCCCACCCTGACCCAGGTCACCTTTCAGGGCAAAACAGCTGGCCCCCACCCATGCACCAGGCCTCTATCCTATCTAATAAAAGAGTAATATGCAGATTGACCATCAGTCCAACACACAATATGGCTGCTCCCATGTGGTCAAAGATCCTGCCTCCATGTGGACACAAGATGGCTATCACAAGATGGCCAGCAGAGGAGGGCAGTTGGGAGGCACCAGGCCTGCAAAGGGAGGGCAGTTGGGGGTGATCAACTCTGCAGAGGAGGGCAATTAGGGGTGACCAGGCAGGCAGAGGAGGGATGACAGAGGAGCAGTTAGACATCAATCAGGCTGGCATGGAGTGGTTAGGGGGTGATTAGGCTGGCAGGCAGAAGCAGTAGGGGCATTCAGGAAGGCAGGCAGGTGAGCAGTTGGGAGCCAGCATTCCTGGATTGTGAGAGGAATGTCCGACTGCCCGTTTAGGCCCGATCCCACTGGGACATCCCTTGAGGGGTCCCAGATTGGAGAGGGTGCAGGCTGGGCTGAGGGATACCACCCTCCACCCCTGTGCATGAATTTCGTGCAAAGGGACTCTAGTATTTAAAATAAGTCACAAAATAAAAATTATCTTAAAAAAACAAACACACACACAAACATAAATTGATCCTATTTGTATTGCAGAGATAGTCATTTAGAAATATTTTGTCCACAGAAGAGTTAGCTACCTAATTCTTTTAACCTGATATTTGTGGAATTGTCTAAATAGAGTTATATTAGAAATTCCTATAGAAAGGGGGAAAAAGAGTACACATTTATATTTGCTCAGATTATTGGTATTGGCTCTGGAGACTGGTATCCATGATAATGCTTCTATCCTCAACCAGCTTTATATAACTTTTAATCTATATTCTTCTTCTTCTTCTTCTTTTTTTCCCCCTAATATATTTTATTGATTTTTTACAGAGAGGAAGAGAGAGTGCTAGAGAGTCAGAAACATCGATGAGAGAGAATCATCATTCAGTCGCCTCTTGCACACCCCCTACTGGGGATGTGCCCACAACCAAGGTACATGCCCTTGACCGGAATCGAACCTGGGACCCTTCAGTCCGCAGGCTGAAGCTCTATCCACTGAGCCAAACTGGTTTCCGCTTAATCTATATTCTTATTGGTAGTTGCTAATATTAAAACAGAATTATAATAGTTAAGGTTGGCAAAATGTGACTACTCAACTTAACTATAAACATATATACATTCAAATATTTGTCTGGAAGAAACAGCAGGAGAAATACAAAGCATATAAAATTCCCAACATCCACATTCTATAAGATAGATGTGTTCACAGAGTTAAATGTGTATATAGCCAAATTAACCTTGTACAAAGAACACCTGATCTTAAACTAGTATCATATGACTATATACATGGTCACATGCTGGACCAAAAGCAGGAAATTTGTAATAAGAATTACAAGCTTTGGTCCTGGCCGGGTAGCTCAGTTGGTTGGAGTGTCGTCACCTATACCAAAAAGAGTTGCTGGTTTAATCCTCAGTTGGGCCGCATATGGGAGGCAACAGTTCGATGATGTTTCTGTTTCTCTCTCCCTCCCTCCCGCTAAAAATCAATAAATATATCCTCAGGTAAGGATAACAGCAATAACAACAACAACAACAAATAATTAAAGGCTCTGTTTCAAAAAGCAAAAGGAACAGAAGCCAACTTACAATTTGGTGGTTCAAAAACACACTTTGTAGGAAACTATGTACCATACAGTAACTATATATTTTATTTGAAATAGTTAACATATATTCAATTGTTCCAAAAAGCATTATTTCCCACGCAAATAATTATTACAAATATCACTAGTGATGATGCTCACAAAAGAACAAGTCATATATATAAGAAATAAAATTGATATTCTTTATATTATTAAAATATGTATTGAATTATTTGTTTAAGAAGGCAAATACATTTTACCAGCATCAATGATTCTTTAATCTAGTATATTGCTCAAAAATACATTAAATAAAGGAGATTTTATAAAATGTTACTGAATACGAGATATGTTATGCCTCTTGATTTTCCTTTCAAAAACTTAGTAGGCCATTTACATCAGAAATTTAATAAAAATGTAGCAATGAATTATTCTCACCTGCTGAGAGTGTTGTATGGGTTGGGAAGATGAAACCCCTGTTACAATACTTGAGGATGGCTGCCCCTGGCTCTGCCCCTGTGCCTAGAGAAAAAAAGTAAATTCAATAAATTAGAAAATCCCTAAAGTAAATGTACAGAGAAGTTAGGCTTTGGCAATAAATGTTAAGCTCCTGAGAATTTGCTTGAGTAAAATGAAACATTAGCTTGATAAAGTATATGTGGAACAGACTGTAGGGGAATCTTTTGTAAGAAAAGGTTAAGAGAAGAACATTCTCTGATCCTATACAAAAAACACTGATAGTTAAAACCTAACCACTTCTGCTCAGGCTATAATTTTAGCTAAAAAAATGTAAGATTCCTAATATAATTGTTAATGACAATAATCAGGAAAAAAGTAATAAGAATATCAATGTAAAAAATACCTCTCTATAAGTGAACAACGAAAGAAGAGTATTTGATAATGCTAATTTGGTTCCTTTGCTATTTCTTGTAGTGTCATGGTGACTTTTATGAAAAATGTAAAAAAAAAAAAATCTGTTATCATAAATTGCTTACAGTATTATTTCTCAAGCAAGGGCAATTTTGCCCTCACCTCAGGGAACATTTGGCAGTATCTGAAGACATTTTTGGTTGATGCTACTTGCATCTACTGGGAAGACACCAAGGTTGTTGTTAAACATCCTATATTGTGCAGAACAGCTACCCCAAACAAAGAACTATCATACAAAGTAAAACATCAATAGTATTGAATTTGAGAAAATCTGACCTACAAAAGTCTAAGTTAAAATAACAGAATGTGGGGCTTTACAAGATGTTTCTTTGAAGATTCCTTGGATAAAACATGTCAGTACATCTTAACTACTATACACATTTATTGTTTCTGTAATATGTCTGTAAATTAACTACTTGATATTTAAAATTTTATTTTGGAAAGTTTAAAGAATGACTGGCAGTGCATTAAGATTTACAGTACAGACTGACAACTAACTAGTGTAATGCTATAAGTGTACTGCATACTCATGCAGTATAATTTTCAAATTTCTGGATCTTTTTGATTCCTGGTACTATTCTAAGTAAGTGATACTTTAGGTACACTTTCAGGGTTGTTTATGCCCACATAGGAAGAAAGTACAAAGGAGAACATACAGTTGTTGTTGTTGTTGTTGTTTTTGTTTTGTTTTTTATAAAAGAATGGAATATTTAAAAGATCCAAACTATGTCTTAAATATATAATTGCGTAATCTCCTACATAGATCTTAATAAGACATGAATTTGATAAAATATATCAAAATATATAAAATAGCTACTACTAATTCCATTTATTGAATTCTAATATGGCCATTACTTGGTCTTTATTTGCAAGAGTGCATAAGCTCATAAACATAAATAACAAAATTTATATTTGTTGATGAAATCACCAAGGCCTGCGATATGTAATGTTCCTTAGCTTGCAACATATATCACAAGTTCTTAAGACAAATTTTTAAAAACCCCACCATCCACACTAGATTCTAACTTAGTTGCTACAAATTAGAATTAGTTAACTTTATTGATTAACATTTTATTTGGACATATACAGTGACTTGTTTGACTGATGCCTTTTTAAAAAGGCATCTTCATTTTGTTAAAACAAATTCTTAAGACGTTTCCTTTTTGTCTTTTAAAATCCTTCCACACTAATGAAAATTCTGTGTATTGTTAATTCTATTTAAAAAAAAGATTTTTAAAAAACTAGCCATGCTTAATTGTAGGGAGATACAGTCACATTAGTATTTATAAATAATGTTGAGTCAACATCACAATATAGACATCTACCTTTTTACTACTAGTTTTAAATATGCTATCTATGGATAGAAGTAATTGATTTTAATAACCAACTAAAATTCTAGTTTTTATATTCTTTTTCTAAGGGTTTGCATATATTATAAGTAAATCAGGCAGCTTCTCTCTCATATTTTGGTCTTAAATACAAATAGTTTCTAATACCCCCAAATGAAGAAATTCAATAATAATTAAATTAAATAATATTCCTCACAAATGGAAAGGAGGGATAGAAAATTTAAATGTAATGATGCATAGTAGGGTAGTTTAAAATAGTGGAAGTTTTCCTATAACCTGTGGATGGAGTGCAGATCCTCCTGAAGAATATGAGGCAGATAAAACCTGCTGAGATGTGGTTCCTTGGGGGAAACAGAAGAAGAGTGGGGATTCTTGTAACACTGTCTGAGGCAGACGGATAAAGGGTAGTGAGACGTCAGAGCCAAAAGGTGCAGCTGCTCCCCCTGTAGGGGGAGGTGATTGAAAATCACTGGGGTCTGAAGAAGTAATTTGTGAGGAATCACTGGAATATTCTGGGCTTCCTATTGGCCAGTTCTGTCCGATAGGCTCTATCACAGAAACGGTCAATTCTGGGGCATAATTATGCTGTTCTTCAGTCACAGGCTGCAGGCGACCATGTAATCCAACTGATTGAGGTGATTCTTCCTGATTCAAGTCCATTGCAACCTGTCGATTTTGGTAAGCACGCTGAGGTAAAACTCCCCCTCCTTCTCCTGAAGAGGAGCTTGGAATGTGAACATGAAATTCAAATATACAATTGCTTCTGCTCTCATTGTTATGAGTTAACACAGCAGGCGCAGAATGAGGAACAAAGACAGGGTGAAATTTCAAACGTGTAGCATCTGTACTGATAGGTGCAGAAATACTAGAGAGGGGAGATCCTGGACTCAATCCAGAATCTAATTTTAAATTCTGAAGGTGTCCTACCAAGAAAGCCTGTCCAGATGGAAATTCAAAGACAGAACTTGAGGTAGGGCCCCCTTGTACTGGCTTCTGTTCAGGTATCTGTTTCATAGGACTTGACAGTACTGGTGAGTTGTATGGAATACCCTCACACTGTTCTGCAACCTGGGCCTGGTACTGTACCCCAGCTAGATACAATGCTTCCTGAGGAACAAAACAGTGAGCTTCTTCTGAAAGTACTAGTCCAGGTCTACAGTCACTGTAAACTTGAGGCGGTTCAAACAAAGGATTGACCGGTATCTCACATGGCTCTCCAGTTATTCTACTGGCTGTAGTACCCAGCATAACTATGGCCTCTGGTGTCCAGTTAGCTGGGCTGCCACCAGGTGGAAGAAGAGTTTGGCCAACAGTCCTCAGCAGGGGTTGGAAGTGGTGAGTTTGGGCTTCCAGGAAGGAGGTGCTCTTACGCCGCTGGGAAATGGCCACCTTCGGTGGACAGGTGGGAGGTGGTGAAAAAGAAACTGGACGTTCATGGATAGTTGGGAAAAATATCTGTGATTCTGGGTATGTTGGGATCCCCCCACACGGATGCACCATGGACTGAGGCTGTATCAACATGAATAAGACAAGTAATTCATACATTCATATGTGAAATTACATTTGACATGCACAACTGGATAGCTCTGTGTAACCCTATGAAATGGTTACACCAAATTTATAATTAATAAAGAAATAACAATACTTGTAGAAATTATGTGCATAGTGAAAATCCATTAAATACATCCAGGGTCCATGTAATTATTTTGTAGGACTCTTGGCCTCAGATAAATGCTGCTTTTCCACAAATTTCCTTTCTCAACTTTCCTTTCTCAAAAAAATTTAACTTTCTAAGTGATTATTTTACTTTTACCTACAATTAACATGCTTACTCTTAATACTTAATATAAATTACATCAGTAGAGAAAGAGTTAAGGGAAAACAATAAACCCAACAATTTTTATAATATAAGAAATGCATTTTAATTTAAGCTATTGTACAAAGTCTACCTATATTCTATATTTTTATTATCCTTTCCTATTAGAGGCTTCAGTGTTATTTTCTTATCAAGTAATTGTATGTCTTCTAAGTAGAAATTAGAAGAGATTTTTGGTGGATAGTAAAAAATACACAATTTGACTAGGGACAGTAAAGTCTTCGTTCTGGTTTATCGCAAACCAGATATAGTTAACTTTACTACATGAAACATGCGACAGACGCCAAATTACTAAATGTCCACTTTCTGGTCCTAGTTAAGGGTTGAATAATTTGGGTTCAAATCCGTAAGAAAGAATATAAATAACAGCTGACTTGTTACAACAATATTTTTGGAGTCAAAGAAGCAGTTCTGGATTTAAAACTAATTTTAGAATCCTATCTTGCTCTGGCCAAGTGCAAACCGTGCACCCTGTGATAATTCACTTTCATAGGCTCGTTTTTAAAAAGAGAACTGTTTCCTTTTTCAATAGGGAAGACCCCTATTAAGTTAGCAAAATAGCTCTTTGTCATTTCTTCACAACATCTAAAAGAGGGTTTCTATTAGTACTCAAAAGCTCTATCACTCTCGTAGGTAAAAATCTGATCTGGGAATTGCTAGATCAGAATGTTAACTATATTCTCTATCTGGAAAAGCAACAGCAAGGTCCCACAGTGTTTAAAACTTTAAAAGACAGATCTTTTATAGATATGGATGGGCCAAAGAAAATCACATGGACTATATATGTGACTAATGTATTCATTAGTCAAGATTCCACCTTAATCAATCTAAGAAAAAAAACTTTCATGAGGAAACATTATGTATCCTTTTTTGTTTGCTGACACATCATTTCAAACAGCTAAGAAATTAAAATCAACTTTCACTGTTTAATTATTATTCACTGACTATGGGGAAAAAATAGATTCATCCAGTTTCGTTAGCAGCTCTAGAATAAAGTGAGGAGAAAACATGTTTGGGTATTATTTGATAAAGAGAAAATTGCCTTTGATTAAGCCAACAATGAGTTTAAAATTCTTTACTAAGATATGAAAATGCAAGGGTTTGTATAGGTCAGTGGGAGATAGGAAAATATTTTTAAAAAGCTAAATTTTATTGTACACACACTGATATGTGTCAAGGGTGTTATAAGCATTCTCTCTCATTACCTCCTTGCATTTTCCCCCCCATAAAACAACAAAAACTATTTCTACAGAATTGGTACCCTAAATCATAATTTAATACTAAGTTCAGTCCTGTTCTTATAATTTTTATGAAAATTCTTGATGCCTGGATGTATTCATTGGTAATAAATTTTCATTTGTCAGGAAGTTTATGGTTACATACAGTACTGACAAAGAGGGAAGGCAGGCTGGAGCGTCGGTGCTTGCGCTGAGAGGCAGAGTGCATAGGCAGGACACTCTCCAATGCTTTACAAAGCTTTTCGGCAAAAGTTTCCTCAGGGGCAGTCCGAAGGAGGGAAGGAGAAAGAGGTGCAGACTGCACTGGTGGTGGGGTGGAAGGAGCACTGGGAGAGATGCGGGACAGAGAGGGAACAGCAGAAAGATGGGGAACACAAACCGACATGCTACGGCCACGACGAGGCTAAACAGAAAACAAACACACACATGAAAAACACAGTACTTTGAAAACAAAATAACCAAATGTACAATGGTAACAGGGCAAAGCTGACATAAAGAAACATTCTTTCCCCCCCCCAATTCCATAAGGCCAATTTTTTTTTGGAGAGCTATAATTCCAGAAAGCTTATCTGGCTAATCATATTTATTCTCTCTACACTGTTGGTCAAGTACAAGTTTTTTTAAATAAACCACCATGATAATGATCACTTATCTTCCTAAGTATTCTAAAATAACATGAATTATTATGATTGTGTGAATAAGAATGAGTGACTGAGGTAGCAGAACATACAGGGTAAACAATGAATATTGGCTTGTAGTTTCTGCAAACTTCTAAAGATTAAACAAGAATGAATTCTATTAGTTGAATGTACATTACAAGATATAGAAGATTTTAAGTTTGGATTACTTTGCAGGAGCTCTGGAAGCCTCAGAAAAGGTTTCTCAATTCTTTCTAAGTAGGCATCAGATTAAAAAAGTTATTGGCTCACAGTATTTTATTTATTTCGCTTGCCTATCTTTATCTGTAAATGCAATTTAAAAAGTCATTTTCTACTAGGAAACGTATGTATTTTTCTAGTATTAATTCTAGTAGTAATTCACAATAGATACAGGAAATATTGTGTATTTACATTAGTCAATGGAAAATATATTAAATGTGAATTTTTAAAAATTAACTTTAAAAATGATTCAATTTAGGTTTACAAAGTTTAAGGCACCTGAACACAAAAGTTATAATACAGCTACAAAACAGTACACCTAATACTGTAAGATTGTCCTGAGGAAGATTTTTATTTCCTTTTGGATATTGTAAACTGCAACTAATTACATTTTTTCTCTTAAAATTGGCTGCATAGAATGCTATGAGCCAAATTTATGGCCTGCCAGCAGCAAGTGTATAAATACTATTGTATGATTATGTATTTCATTCCTGGTTCTATTTTTCTTCACCCTTGTTTCTCTTTTATTCTAATTTCTAAATTCTACATATAATTGATATATTATTATAAGTTACAATAAAATCTTTCTTGAATAAGAACAAAATTATAAAAATTTATTGTCCTCAGTATTTAATAACTTCATGATACCTCCACAGAATATTGTCATTAAAAGGCAAGAATGTTATTAGCAGATTGCTTTTAGCACATCAATAAATATAATCATAATTATGTTTGTGGCTCAAATATTTAAAATCTTCATAAATGATCACTCCATTTTCTTTTCTAAAAAAAGGGACCCAATGTCCACGGCCCTGTAATGAATGAATGAAGCTGAAAAGTTAAAAATAGTTTTCAGAAAGGCTGTTGTGATGATCCAGAAAAAAGTCAATTATAACAGAGTAGAAACTGGCAAGAAATTTGGACAAATATTTGCCAGATCACAGAAATACATCTATACAGTCTTTATGAAGTTTTTCTAACCTACCTAACTATTTTAAAGGACAGAAAAATAGATTGTTAAAACATTAGTACATTAGTAGTTTTATTTATGTTACTGTGGCCATTCATCTTGAGATCTAGCCACTGTAGGACTGATAAATGGACTCTGAAGTAAACACCTTTTATCCCAAGCTGTAGGATAAAAGACAAGAGCAAGCAGAAGTATTTTTTAACAGAGAAAGATTTTCATTTATTGAAGAGCAAGAGTTCCACAAAATTCAGATAAAAAGCTTTCTGAGAAAGGGAAAATCTATCTGTCTAAAGATTTCACTAAAGTGTTATATAATGACCAGTTATTCTCCAATTCTACCCTGAGCCAGATGGTATATTTTATTTACCCCTTAAGACTTCACAGATCATAAAAAAAAAAAAAAAGGGATATTATCTGATGGTCTACTTTAATATTATGAGAAGCAAAAGTGGCTAATGTAAAACATGGGGTAATAATGTGTATACATGTGTCTGTGTATGTATGTATATATAAATGTATAAAACATTTTAGGAAATAATCTCCATAAGTTGATTCTAAAAATAAACCAGTAAGAAACAGATACCAAATAAAGGAAAACAGCACATGAACACATAATAAGGAAGGAACTTGTGTCCAACACAGACTTAAGGAGGAACATACATAGCAACTAATGATTAAACACAAGCGCTAAATTAAATGGTCATACAAATAAAGGATTCTTTCACTCTAGAGTACTCACATGCAGCATTCTATAATGGTCTGAAGGTCTTACCTGTGTTTTATACAATAAAAATTCTTACAGAAAATACATAGTAATTCTTTTAATAAATAAGCTTTTGAAAAATTCTCCTCACCCCCAACCCCCAAATATTTGTATATCCAATTTATGCTCCTCTGAACAGTTTCAACTCTAAAGTGCTAAAGAGAACATTATCGTTATTTTTAATCAAAGGCAGAACAGCCTAAACTTTCCATATGGTATGTGTGTGTTCAAGGCAGTAGTTCTGCCTTGCCTGAACTACTCTTAATACACCCAATAATAAACCTACTTCTTTCAGAAATACACCGTTTATATTTTCTACTTCAGACTCATGCTATTACTTGGATATAAGAAAGAATTTAAATTTAACACATTATCTGTTGGCTCTCATTACCGGTTTACACTCTCTTATGCTATTACTTACCATACTTGAGGGTGGATACACCCCATGGGGCTGAGATTGTGCTTGGCCAACAGAAGCTGTGTGCCCTGGGACTGTGCCAGTAGAATGTGCCTGCTCATGTTGGGAACCATATGAAACTGTCTGTTGGCTGCTCACTCGAGATTCTGTGAAGACAGAAGATCCCTGACCACTGTCAACAGTCCCGTCAGCTGAAGGAGAAAAACAGAGAGAGACAAATCATAAAATGGAGGCTGACTTTAGGATCAAATAGCTTTTTTCTTTGCACAGACCTGAACTAAATAAATAATGAATACTAGTTAATTTACTAAGTATATTTCTATGTTTAAATGAGAGATCCATATGAAAAAAAAAAGTTTTAATGTCTTAGAAATTTGTGCATGAGTGTGTGTGTGTGTGTGTGTGTGTGTGTGTGTGTGTATCCCTCAGTCCAGCCTGTGCTCTCTGGCAATCTGGAGCCCTTGGGGGATGTCTGACTGATGGCTTAGGGCTGCTCCTGGACTGGGCCTAAGGCAGCAGTCGGACATCCTTAGCACAGCCACAGAGGTGAGAGGCTCCGTGGGAGCTCACTGACTATCAGGGGGTAGCTCCTGCGTTAAGCATCTGCCCCTGGTGGTCAGTACACATCATAGCAACTGGTTGTTCTGCCATTTGGTCCATTTGCAAATTAGCCTTTTATTATATCAGATTTCATTTTAAGGAATTGTGAAAAGTAGAAATCTATAAATTGGAATCTCCAAGATGAAGGAACCTGTAAAATCATCTTATATTCTTTTCACATTTCCTCACGGCCCCATCCTTCTTTTCTATGAGTCATGAACATAAGAATAGAAAAAGGTAGAGAGCAACCATTTCAAACTTATTATATGTTACATTCATAATTCAAAACCAAGAGGCCAGTGCAACATCATTAATAAGAAGATAAAAAGTCATGGACCTGGAGAGCATTATGCTGAGTGAAATAAGCCAATCAAAGATACCATATTTTTCGGACCATAAGACGCTCCGGACCATAAGACGCACCAGTTTTTAGAGAAGGAAAATGAAGAAAAAAAGATTCTGAAACAAATAGTGTCCTAAAATATTTTATGTGCATTAAAACCCAACATCACAGTCATAAACACATGTAATCAACCCTGTAAAGTAAACAGCAGCATTTAGAACCATTTTAGAGCCGGGCAAGCACACAGAGACCACACAGAGCCGGGCAAGTAAAAAAACTTTTTTTTCAAAGTATATGTGTAGGCTATATTTGGATCATAAGACGCAGGGACTTTTTCCCCCCACTTCTGGGGGGGAAAAAGTGCGTCTTATGGTCCAAAAAATACGGTAAGTATCACATGATCGCACTCATTTGTGGAATATAATGAACAATATAAACTGGTGAACAAAAATAGATCCAGAGACATAGAATCATCGAACATACTATCGAATCTCAGGGAAGGCAGGGGAGGAGGTAACAGATCAACCAAAGGACTTGCACTTGCATGCATATAAGCATAACCAATAGACACAGAGAGTAGGGGATGAGGGCATGTGCTGGGGTGTGGGAGCAGCTGGGGAGAGATCAACAGGGGGAAAAGGAGTCATATATAATATTTTAAACAATAAAGAACTTAAATTAAATATAAACATTTTAAAAAAACAACAGAGGCCAGAGGGGAGAGGCAGAGAAAATGGTATCATCCAGATATGGGCCCTAACAAGTATGGGGTGGCTATTAAAGTATGAGATGGACAATACAAATCTACATTCATAGGAAGTAACGGACCTCAATATAAATCTAGAGTCAGAAAAGACAGTTCCCCCATTACAATAAAACAAAATAATTATACCCTCTATTAAGTCAATTAGGAGTATCCTTAGCGTACTTGCCCACTCCCAAAAATACTTACATAACACAGATATACTAGGTTGTTGGTACTGTAGTTGTTGATGTTGGTCTGCCTCAGGTTCTTCAGGTTCTACTTGCGTAGAAACTGAAGCTGAAGTGGTAGAGGCAGTAGGTATGCCAGTGCTAGCAGAGGGGAGCTGCTTGATTGCTGTCTGGGAAGCACTTGATTGTTGTTCTACTTGCTGTTTGAAACTGCTCTCTTCCTGTTTTCTTTTTTCTTGCTCCTCTCGCACCAACTGCCGCTGCTCCCGTTTTCTCTTAATTAATGATACTCTATCTTTGATGGCCTTCGCCATGGTCTTGTGATCACCTTCACAGACATACCCAGACTCTACCTATATGATAAAAATGTGCATTAGGAAGTAGTAGGTTATCAAAGGCAAACAAACCAAATATAAAACAAAAAAGACCCTTTTGGGAGAAAAGTAGAGAAGGAGAAGAAAGAGCTCTTTAAGATTTGATCTTAACCAGACTGTGAAATTACTGGTCCAACATGCATTTTCCCACCATTTTTGAAGGCACTCTTGGGGTGGGTGCCAAGATCTTTGTAGAAACTCGAGAGGTGAATATACTTTCACTTCTTACAACCTCAAAACAACGAGAAACCTAAACCCAAAGTTTTTAAAACAAATTAAGTCCCATTAAATTCTATTTCCCACTCACACATACCATTACTAGTAACTTGTGTTGCTTGTACTTCCTTTCACTAGGCAACCATTTAAACAGATAAAACAACTGTGGTAGATAAGTAAAGGTTAAAAAAAAAACACACAAACTTCAAACAGTATGAAAAAAATCACAAAAATAAGTGTATCTTTCATACTTAGGCAACTATTATTAAATGGTTCTTATATATTATATAAGTACCTTTACATAGTAAATGTCTATTTTTAGGCATTATGGCAAGCCTAAAATTGGTGAAGTGTTTCCTTTTTGAATTGATCTTTTACAATACTTCAAAAAATAATTCACCAAAGTCTATCTAAATAATTTATCTTGAAAACTCCCTTAAAAGTAAAAACAATTTACGATCTATTTATAGAGTTTATACAGATGACTGGACAAAGGTGAATATATAAATATTTAGAAGGCATAGCTTCTCATTCTCACTAAATATGTTTAATACAAACTAGAAGTCATTCAACATTAAACTCTCAAAATTACTTCAGAATGTATTCTAGTTTCTTTATTTCCATATTCATATTCTATTCTCTTAGATCCATCCATCTATACCTATCTAAGTCTATATATCTTTTCCTCAAAAATAATTTGGGGGCCATTTAATTAATACAATTTTATTATACACAGTTTCGTAAACTGCTTTTTTGCTCAATAATATAAATATCTATCTATCTATATCTATATCTATCTATCTATCTATCTATCTATATAAAAATCTGCATCAATTTTTAAATGGCTGATTAGTGATAATTTACCATTTCTTGAGCAACATCTTCTGGCACATCTCTGTCCAAATCAAAGGAAAACTCAATAGCTTCATTGTCTTTGTATTTTCCCTTTAATTTCTTAATATCTTCAATACGTAGCCATAACTTAATGGCTATTTTTTCTCCATCATCTTCTTCTGCTAATTCTACCCGTACCCCTGTTTCCTCCTGGAAGAAGGCATGGTTCAAAAGGTCTTTGATAGAATATCTTCCAAAGAGAGAAGGGAAAAAAACACACACACATAAAGTGTCATTAGATTTAAAAGATAACTTTCAAGTGTGACTAATTATTGATTGTTATGCTTGGAATAATGAAAAAGGATTGACAAAATACAAGGGACATTTCATAACTCATTTTTACATTGCTCCATTTGAATAGTGATTAGAGTTTTACTCTCGTTACAGAACATCATGACAATCTCATAACAATAACATTTATGAATAAAAATGGGAAGTGTTATCTTTTTAAATATAATGATCTAATTTGTTAATAGTGTACTAACAATACCAAGTAATACAAAGAATATCATAGCTTCAAAAATACCATATAATTGTTTATATAGCATTTACAGTTATATATTAAAAAAAAATCCTCATTTGTAGGATTTCATCTAATCCTTGACCAACATTCAATAAGATATCCTAATTAGGATATGGAAGTTCAGAGAGGCTGAAAATCTTGCTCATAGTTATAATAAAAGTAGTAAATGGTGGAATTAAAACTCAAAAATAAGTCTTTTGATTTCAAGTTCATTACCTTTTATTACAGCAAGCTTCATTTACCCCCTTTTCCCCCCGCCCCAAATTCTCTCAATTCCTGTTCAACAATTTGTGTACTAGGCAAGCAGAAGTCTAATTGTGAAACAATCTTCTTTAGATAAATGGTCTCAAAATACCAGTAATCTAGTGAACTGGTCCATCCAGAAAAGAAATAGAGTAATATGTTTGAAGACTGGGAAACAAATATTCCTTTGTTTATAGTAAAAAAAAAAGTTCTTAAAGAGATTAAAATAAAAACCCAAATTAAATTTCTACTAAAAAGCCTTAAAGATCATGATGTTAACCTCTTCCAAATAATGAAGTTATGAAAAGAGCATGAGACTGGAGAAGGGAAGATATGGAATTCTTTAATTTGGTTGATATACCTGATTGCTCACATTCTTCTGGAGGTAGACTATGCTCAACTTACAATTTATATTTGTACAGGCTGATCTTTAAAAAAAAATATTTTTTTTTAAAGAGGGTAAGGGGGGGACATTCAAAGTGGATTATTTTTCAAAAACAGACATTGGACCTTTGCCATGCCTAACGGGTGATGAATCAGCTCTGTGGCAGATCAGATACTTGCCACTCCTCTGAGAAAAGTCCTCTGTTAGTACAAATGACTAAGCCAGATCTCCTCCTAAGCTTTAAGGGAAGTCGTCTCTTTTTACTCAAAGGAATTTTGATGTTTTGCTCTTCTTCAATTCTGGCATATTAAAAGCAAACCAAGACCTGTATAGTTGAGTTGATTTTAAAGAACCAAGATTTTATTTTATCTTTTAGAATTCAATGAATAAAAAACTAAGGAATGGACCTGCTGCATTAGAGATGGAACCCTACTGAGTTTTCTGTTTTGTTGTTAATCCTCATGTGAGGATATGTTTTCAACTGATGTTAAACACAGTGGAAGGGAGGAAGGAGGGAGGGAGAGAGAGAAACATCTAAGTGAGAGAGACACGTCGACTGATTGCCTTTTCTGCACACACCTGATGGAACGAACCTGCAATCCAGGTACATGCCCTTGACAGGGGAATCCAACCCACAACACTTTGGTGCATGGGCTGACTCTCTAACCACTGAGCACACTGACCAGGACTGAACCCTACTGTTTTTTGTTTTTTGAATATATTTTATTGATTTTGTACAGAGAGGAAGGGAGAGAGATAGTTAGAAACATCAATGAGAGTCATCGATCAGCTGCCTCTTGCACACCCCCTACCGGGGATATGCCCGCAACCAAGGTACATGCCCTTGACTGGAATCGAACCCGGGTCCCCTCAGTCCCCAAGCTGACGCTCTATCCACTGAGCCAAACCGGTCTCGGCCCTACTTAGTTTTATACATCATTCTGATGCTATACAAATTTATCATTAAATGTTGATATTTCAGGTAATTCTGGTTTACTTAAACACTGCAGTTTTACAACATTTCATTCAGTGTATCAAATCTGAACACTTCAACGAACAAAACTACTTTTAAAGATATTATGACATTACTTGAAAAACTAGTCACTAGTAAAATACACCTTATATTGAGTGTTATATTCACAGCATGTGAATTTAACATTTTAGGTTTTTGTTTAAGCAGCAGGTCAAAAGGCAACTTACCTTTCATCTTTGTTTTGCCGAATGCATCCTTCAATAATTTCCTTCACTTCAGGAATTGCTACTTTGTCAAAACTGGCTGGCTTCACCCCCTGAAACGCACAAAAACAGTGACAAGGAAACATTAATGAAAGCAGAGCCTTTGAACTTCGACTTTCAAGGTTCCATTAGATCAGTGTTTTTCAACCTTTTTTGGGCAAAGGCACACTTGTTTCATGAAAAAAATCACGAGGCACACCACCGTTAGAAAATGTTAAAAAATTTAACTCTGTGCCTATATTGACTATATATAAAGTAATTCTCTTGAATAGGAATCAAATAAACACAAAGAAAGTATTTTATAATTACTTTATTATGAAATATTAAGTAAACAAAATAGTGAAAAATTATAAAATTCTTGTCTTGTCTGCACCTACGGCACACCAGGCAACATCTCGCGGCACACTAGTGTGCCGCGGAACAGCGGTTGAAAAACGCTGCATTAGATTGACTTCTTAAAAACCTGGCTTTTCCCCCCACCTCCGATTTGTCTGAAGGAGCTGGTTCCTGCAGGCTGAGTTGAGTAGTGGCAATTTAACTCCCTCAAGACAGAAGAAAGAAACAGAGAGTAGGAGGCACTTACTTCCATGGCTTGTATCTGTGGCTAGCGAAAATTTTAGAATGTTGTCAACATTTTCTGCTGTGTTTTAAGTAAAAGAAATTACTGGCTAAAAAGAAGGCCAAATATTCTAATTGGTTAGAATGTGTTTTGTTCAACCTTGTTACCTAACACATTAATCAACACAGCAATTAGCTGTTTTGAATAGTGAACTTGTGTGGGCATGAATTCACATGCTCAGTTTGGCAGGTATTCTATGATTATAGCACTCTTTAACAAACTCACCAAGTATAGAAGGAGTTAAGGATTTGGACTGGTTTGGCATGAGAACTGAAGAGCAAACTGTCTTATACATAAGAAACATAAAGTGAAAAGTGACACATTAGACCCATATGAAAGAGAAACTGTCTAATTTCAGAACATTCAATGCAACTATTACATGTAATACTGAAGAGCATCCCAGTGATATTTTAGAATCTTCATGACGTGTAAATCCTTTGCAAATAAAAATTTCAGCAATGTGTTGAAAGATAAACAAAATACTCCCTATCTGAGAGGTGATGTGGACAAAGCCATCTTACTATTCCAACTCATCTGATTAACCACACTAATACATTAAGTGGCATCTAAATACACAAAAAAACTGGGAATTAGGACAGAGGAACTAGAAAAGTTAGAATACATATTAATTATAATAATCTATAGTCTCAGTGATACGATATATTAAACCAAAGTTAATAATAATTTGATAGATCACAGAAATACATGCAATCTCTCATAGATTGAAATGAAATACAGTTGACCCTTGGGGCACTGACCCCTATGGGCAGTTGAAAATCACTTGCAACTTTTGACCCCCAAAACTTAATAACTAATAACCTGCTGTTGACCTTATTAATAACATAGTTGATTAACACATTTTATATGACATATATATCACATACTGTATTATTACAATTGAGTAAGCTAGAAAAAATGTTAAGAAAATCATAAGGAAGACAAAATTTATTGTACTATATGTATTAATTTTTAAAAATGTATAAAGGGACCTGCAGAGTTTTTGTTTTGTTTTTTAAGGTGTTGTTTTTAAAATATATATATTTTATTAATTTTTTACAGAGAGGAAGGGAGAGAGATAGAGAGTTAGAAACATCAATGAGAGAGAAACATCAATTAGCTGCCTCTTGCACACACACCCATTGGGGATTGTGCCCACAACCAAGGTACATGCCCTTGACCGGAATCGAACCTGGGACCTTTCAGTCCGCAGGCTGACGCTCTCTATCCACTGATCCAAACTGGTTTTGGCCAGACCTGCATAGTTAAATCCGTGTTATTCCAAGGGTCAACACTACATCAAATAATTAGCTCAAAAAAGTTTTCAAATACTAGAGTTGTAGTGAAATAATTCTCATTATTTACTGAATGCATTATTCGAAAATCCTAATTTGGAGGATTCTGCCACTATGACTAACCTTCCACAGCAAGGAACTGTAGGATCAGTAATGCTGATCCTAAAATTGAATCAATGTATTTAAAGGGTTCACTTCTGAGTAATGACTAAAAAGATAGTTTGTATTTTGCTTACTTTCAAATCCAACATATTAAGTTTTCCCAACTGGTCTTTTAATTCTAATAAAAATAAGAAAATAATGCTGCTGGCCGAAACCGGTTTAGCTTAGTGGATAGGCGTCAGTCTGTGGACTGAAAGGTCCCAGGTTCAATTACGGACAAGGGCATGTACATTGGTTGCAGGCACATCCCCAGCGGGGATGTGTTTCCCTCTCATCGATGTTTCTAGCTCTCTATCCCTCTCCCTTCCTCTCTGTGGAAAATCAATAAAATATATATTTAAAAATAAATAAATAAATAAATAAATAAATAAATAAATAAATAAAACAAGTCCTGGGTGCATTTAAAAAAAAAAGAAAATAATGCTGCTGAAGTAAAAGTCTGCTTTAATTGAGCAAGGTGGTATGGAATTTCAAACTAAGGTTTAAGAAAATAGGAACTGCTTTAAGAAAAAAATGGATGATGCACATTACAAGTTCTCTGGTAGAAGAAACACTAGTGATTTTGTTTTATATTTGTTTATAATTTTATACAATAAACATGTAGAACTGTTTACTGTAACAAACAAAAAAAGCAAATTTTATTCACTTATTTAAATATATTTTTATTAATTTCAAAGAGGAAGGGAGAGGAATAGATAAGATAGAAACATCTATGTTGAGAGAAAATCATTGATCAGCTGCCTCCTGCTTGCCCCAGTGACCTCCTGGTTCATAGGTTCATGCTCCAACACTGAACCACGCCTGCTGAGCTAAAAGCAAATTTTAAAATGCTATTCATAAATATAATGGAAAAACAATCTAAAATACTATATGTTGAGTTCTTAGAACATTCACTATTGGCAGAAAGTTACCTGAAAGACAATTCTTTGCTAAAAGTGGACACATACATAGTTGGCCTTTGCATGTAAAAATATTCTAAATGCTACAGAAAAGCAACAAAAGAGAATATAGAATATGATTAGGAAAATGTTCCTTCTCCCATAACACATTTTAGGGGAATGTAGTTTGGACTTCTGGCAGTAAACTCTACATATTAATTAATTATACACACAAACACACACATTGATTCTATCAAAAGACATTTCAATTTAACTTAAGCATAGTGGAAAAATAAAAGGATTTAATAGAAAACTTGAATTCAGTGTGAACTGGGCAAATAGAAACAGCTAAGCTTCAGATTCCTTGTAAAGCAAATGGGAATACTTGTACAATTCATTTATCTATATTCGCATGAGCTAGAATCAAATGTAATATATAGGTTGAAAGCTCTTTGAATTACTTGCTGATCTAAGGCCACTTTGGATTTCAAGGTAATCCGAAAAGATAATGAAATTTAGAGTTAAAAGGAAGCAGAGAATTCTCTTGAATAATAATCACTAAGATCCACTGTGAACCTGCTTTCAATCCTTGGTCCTTTTGTTAATCCTATCCATGCAACCATATATATACACTCATGACTTCACAAATAAGAAATCAAATCCTACTTACAAATAGAAATAATAGTTGAACAAATGAGATATAAAGTCACCAATAGCAAAACCAACTGTGCATTGTATAATAACCTGAACTACTAGGTTATGCTACTTTTTCAACTTCTAGCTAAGATTTAGGTATGGAAAATTCCATACCAATGCTATAAAACATACATTTAGAGGAATGAGTTTGGTCTTCTGGCAGTAAAACTACATATTCAAATGTCACTGCTGCCTTCAAAAATGTATTGCAGGTGCCAAGGTAGCTCAATAAAATGGAGACACACCTTACCAGTCCAGCAACTGGTATTAAAAGATTAAGCTGCTTACTGTTACTCACTTAGGTAATAAAAAGAATAAAGATATTTCACCAGTCAGCTACCATCAAGAAGTCAGGATTATAAAAATATCTAGCAGAGATATTATGAATCATTTGAGAAGCAAGACTTTATAGGGGTTGTTCTATTTAAAAAGACCTAAAGCCGGGACGGTTTGGCTCAATGGATAGAGCGTCGGCTTGGGGACTGAAAGGTCCCGGGTTCGATTCCGGTCAAGGGCATGTACCTTGGTTGCGGGCATATCCCCAGTGGGGGGTGTGCAAGAGGCAGCTGATCGATGACTCTCTCTAATCGATGTTTCTAACTCTCTCTCTCTCCCCCTTCCTCTCTGTATAAAATCAATAAAATATATTTTTAAATAAATAAATAAATAAATAAATAAATAAAGACCTAAAAATGTAAAACTTGGTATGAAATCTCATGATCCTTAAAGTGGCCTAAAGAAAAGTCACCTGGTACTCATATACACATTATACTCACAGGTTTCTTGTTCTTAGGAGATGAGAAAAGTCAATGTATTTTCAAAAATTTTAATAAATAATTTTTAATGTAAAAAAGTTGGTTATGGGGTAGTAAAGAATAAAGGGGGCCAAAAATATGGTGATGAAAGATGATGTGACTTTGGGTAGTGGGCGTAAAATGTTGTATGCAGATCATGTATCACAGAAATCTACACTTGAAACCTGTCTTATCTTATTAACCAGTGTCACCTCAATACATTTAATAATTTTTTAAAAAATTGGTTGAGATTATTCTAAAACATGACTTTAAGCACCAGACAGGACAAAATAATGAAGAGAAAATGTTTTAATGAAAAAAGTTTTCATCTTTTTTTTCCTTTTGGTTCATATATTTCAATAGGGTGGTCAATTTAGAGCCAAAAAAATTCTGCCACCTTTCTTCCCTTTCTCCCCCTCTTTTCTTTACTTTTTGATTTAGCCACACACAATCCTATTCTAGTCCTGTTCTGACCAGTAAAAGCAAAATTTTGCTCACTTGTTGTGAATGAAGTTCAAAAACACAAAACAGAATGGAATAATAAGGTAGGTAAGTTTAGCTAATATTTTACACATAAGATACACACCTGTCTAGTCCATTCTTCCTCAGCCA